CTCGCTCCACACCCGTGGCCGTGAAGCTGGTGTTTGCCGTCACCATCGGGCCGCTCGCCGAGATGCTGATGCCAGTGGCAACCCTCTCCACCGACCCCACATACCGACCATCGGGCGAGGTAATGCTAACTCCTCACCCGGAGTTGGCGGCGCGGTACGGAGTTGTGGGGTCAGCCACGCTGGTAAACGCAGATGGGGGCCGACTGTTTATGCGGGTGTTTAACCCACACAGTACCCCGGCAATGCTACGACGATGCACCACGGTAGCCACCATACACCCCCTGCACGCGCGCCACTCTAACGACTCGGTGTTTGCACTCTGGGCGGAGGACCCTGGCCGCCCCGAGGACAACCAGGACCTGGCCTGGCGAGTCGGCCCGACTCCCCGAGCCGAGATCGTCCCCTTGCGTGATGCGTTACATGTGCCTTGGGCAGATTTACCTAAGGGGGAGGCCGACCAGCTGCGTGGGTTATTGCAGGAGTACGCTGACGTGTTCAGTGAGCACGATTCAGATGTGGGCCGGAGAGACCTTGTTAAGCACCAAATTGACACAGGTGCAGCCCGACCCATCAAACTCCCCGCATACCGAGTGGGCGCGCCTGAACAGACCCAGATCAAAGAGGCAGTCGCGGATATGCTACGTGATAACATAATCCAGCCCTCGGCGAGCCCCTGGTCTGCCCCGGTCGTGCTAGTGACGAAAAAGGATGGGTCGACCCAATTCTGTGTTGATTACCGAAAGTTGAACGCAGTCACCCTCGGCAACGCCTTCCCCATACCACGCATCGACGACACCTTTGACAGCCTCGCAGGAGCACGGTATTTTTCGACCCTCGATCTGCCGTTCGGGTACTGGCAGGTGGAAATGGCGGAGGAGGATTGGCCAAAAAACGCATTTACCACCCCGATGGGACTGTTCGAGTTTCGAGTGCTTCCGTTCGGACTGACTAACGCACCCGCAACGTTCCAGCGGTTGATGGAGTTGGTGATGCGAGGCTTGCAGTGGGAACAGTGCCTGATTTACCTGGACGACGTGATAGTGTTCAGTAGATCTTTGTCTGAACACTGGTCCAGGCTGCGAGAGGTGTTCCAGCGATTACGAGCAGCCCATCTCAAGCTCAAGCCATGTAAGTGTTACCTTGCGCAGCGTGAGGTAGGGTACCTCGGACACCGAGTCAGCGAGGCGGGTGTGCGCACCGATCCGGGGAAGGTGCGCGCCGTAGTGGAATGGCCACGGCCAAGGAACCTGACGGAGATCAGATCATTCTTGGGGCTCGCCACCTATTATCGTCGATTTGTAAAGGGATTCAGCGAGATTGCACGTCCCCTCACCCAACTCACCTCCCCTAAGAACCCCTATCAGTGGACGGAGGCCTGCCAGACGGCCTTCACCACCCTCAAAGACCACCTCACCCACACCCCCACCCTGGCTTTCCCCGATTTCACCACTGATTTTATTTTAGACACCGACGCCTGCAGCAGTGGGCTGGGCGCGGTGCTGTCACAGGTGCAGAGTGGGACGGAGCGGGTCATCGCATACGCCAGTCGGACCCTGAGTGGGGCCGAGCTGAATTATTGCGTGACCCGTCAAGAGCTGTATGCCGTGATCTTCGCGTGTAAACAGTTCCGACCGTATTTGTACGGCAGGAAATGTCGGGTGCGCACCGACCATTATGCCCTGCAGTTCCTCCTTATGTTCAAGGAACCACGGGGGCAGATGGCCCCCGATGGTTGGCACAGTTGCAGGAGTATAACCTGCAAATTGAGTACCGAGCGGGGCGGATACACGCAAACGCGGACGCCTTGTCGAGGCGGCCCGTGGTGTGCGCCGAGGCAAGGACGGAGGAAGCCTGCCCATGCTTCACGGGGGGACGTTGCCGGCAGGTGGCGGGCCTCCAGGAGCGCGCTGAGACTAACCCTCCTCCGATGAGAGACAGTGCAGTATGTGCCACAGAGACCCCGGCAGGAGGGACCAGGGACCCAGAGGACCACCCGGCAGGCACGGAGCCCACACCTCGGGGCCCGACGTGTTGCTCAACCCCACCCGATTGGATCCAGGAGGACATCGGCTGCACCTTCCCGGGCCTGGACGACGAGCAGCTGAGACGGACCCAGCTGCGGGATCCAGATCTGGCGGCGGTGGAAGCGGCCCTACGGGACAAGGATGCCCTACCAGGACCCTGGAGTGGTTTGTATGCCCGGTTGTGCGTGCAGAACGGGGTGGTACGGGAGCTAACCGAAGCCGGCCAGCCGGGGTGCATCTGCGTTCCCACCCAGGTGCGACCCCAGCTGCTAAGACTGGTGCACGACCACCCACTCGGGGGCCATGACGGGGAACGGCATACTCGGGAGACCCTGCGTCGCCAGTATCGCTGGCCCAAGTTAGCACAAGACGTGGCTGCCTGGGTACAGGGCTCTCGCTCGTGTCAGCAATGCGGGCCGAAACCAGCGTGATATCAGGTACCCCTGAGACCGTTCCGCGTCAGTCGAACGAATCAGCTGGTTGGGATCGACCTACAAGGGCCATTCCCGCGATCCCACCAGGGAAACCGATATATTCTCGTAGAGTACTTCACACGCTACCCCATAGCGGTGGCCATACCCGATAAGACAGCCCTCGTGGTGGCCCGAGCATTCGTGGAGCACTATGCACTTAAGCACGGGATCCCCGAACGAGTCATTACTGACCAGGGTAGTGAGTTTGAGGCGGAACTATTCCAGGCGCTGTGCCGGGAGTTCGGGATCCAGAAGGACCGAACTACGGTGTATCACCCCCAGGCAAATGGGATGGTGGAGAGGATGAACCAGACTCTAGCCGGGAAGCTTAAACGCATGGCGGCCGCAAATCAACGGGACTGGGATGAACACCTCCCCTATGCTCTGTTCGCCTACGCTACCACGGTACACACATCTACGGGACAGACCCCATTCCTAATGATGTTTGGTCGCGAGTCTCGCCTACCCACAGATCTGCTGTTCGGTGTTCCTCCGCAGCAACGGGAGGAAGGGAGCCGCCCCGTGGAGCACCTGATGGAGACCCTACGAGGAGCTAGGGGCCGGGCATACCCGCAAGGCGAGGCCACACACCAGCGGCAGGAGCAGGGCGCCCGACCCCGAATGGAACCCCCCTTCTACTCGGCGGGCTCTAAGGTATGGCTGCACACCCCTCGCGTCGGGGCCGGACAGGTGGGGAAACTAACCACCTACTGGCGGGGACCCTGGACCATGGGACGACAGATCTCCCCCTGGATGGTACTGATTCAGGGGGGAGAGAGAGGCCGGGAGATAGTGGTCAACGTCCGGCGACTAAAACCATGGAGGGCGGCCCCAGCGAGGGAGAACCCCACCATTCGAGTACACCGAAACCCCGGGGTCCCCACACCCCCCATATCCGGGGGCCTCACACAGTATATGGGCCCCATGGAGCCCCAGGCCCAAGGTGGTCCCGACCCGAGCCAGGGGGGATGGGGACGACGACCCCCGAACCCTACCGCCCCCGAGTTTGTCTCCCAGCCCGCAGGTACCAAGGACCGAAGAAAGCCACTGGAGTGGAGGAGGAGACCGCCGCCAGAACCTCGAGAGACGGAGCCACCACCGCCGAGACCAGCCACGAGAGCCGGATGAGTCCCGCGGACCCCACGTCGCTACCTCGTGGAGGCGACCCAGGCGAGGTGCTCCAGTCAATCCGGGACGGGGACTGGCACCTCGGGGGGCTGTGTGGTGCCGCCACAGCGGAGCCGCTCCGTCGGGGCCGTGCCCGCCGCCGTGGCGCCGCCACCGGAGAGTGACGACGCCAACGCTGCGCGCCCCTCGCCGCCCCCCACATGAATGCACGCATACCCCACATAGGGCCCAAGGGGGGAGTCACCTGGACGACAGGTTTTCATCCAGAAGCCCCTAATGGGATCAAGCTTCATGGTTTCCTGCGGCCAGGAAATTGGGCGACCTACCCCTGAGGCTGACATGCACCGCGGCGCCATGACCTGATATTAAAATGGCATGGTCATGGCAGGGGCTGTTGAGCCACCACGAGTGGAACCACACACACACAACACGAGTCAGTAGGCTGATAGCGGGAAGAACAGAAAGCGGACGTCGAGAGAACCACTGCGGTGACGTCACCAGAGCTGGGATCCGAGTTTCAAAAAGGCGGAAAAATCCAGGCCTCTGATTGGACAGGAGGCTAAGGGGGGTACAGCATCGGAATGCCTTTGTTATAGGTAGGATAAGAGGAGGGGGATTCAGGCAGTAAAGATTAGAGTCCTTCAAAGCATCGAAGTCAGCGGGGTGTTGGAGCAGCCGTTCGAGTCGTCCGTGTGACGAAGTTTAACGCAGCCAAGCCCAACTCTCCACGGAGTCGACGCACGGCATCGCCGTCCACAGCTTCTGCAGCATCAGATTGGGAGTAAGGTGAGTGTGGGCTAATTGATCAGAGGGAAGAAAGGGGAGCGCCAGGCAGGATAAATTGAGTCTAGGATCCCTGAAGTATAGGCCGGTTAGGGTCTGCTGACCCACACAATCACACGTAGTTTAGCGGGTTACCCACAGGGAATAAAATAACCAGTAGAGAATAAACTGTGTCGTGTGGTCTTTTGTGAGTGTGAAGAGGAGGGTGGAGTGTCTTGCGTTCGCGTGCATGCGCGGCTGTTTAGACGGCCTTTAAATCGGGGTGGAGTGACTCCCCTCAATCAGCGGCGCGTGCACGGCAGACACCCCTACCCTCTAACCCCTAACCCCAAGTTCCCCGCTTGTGATTGGGGTACGGAGCCGGGCAGGTAGCAGAGTCGGGTTTGTTAGTGCCTGGGCACGTAGGGCGTGTGCGCGAACAGATCCTGGGGGGCTAAGCGCCGGCCGTGGAGTCACGCGTCGGCGCGCCGTACCCATATTGTTTACGCACAAGACGGGGTTTTACTGCACGGGCGTGCTCACCGCAGCGCGCCCGCCGCCGAGCCGCGTAGCGCGTCGTAAGTGTAGAGAAGTCGGCCCCACCAACTGAACCATGCCTACCCGGGCAGCAAAAAAGTCGGGGGCACAGGGGGGCGAGGAGTTGGAGGTCGGTAGCCAGAACCCGACAGAGCAGTCGGGGGCTAGTAGTACGATTGCGACGGAGGAGGCGGGGGACGGAGGGATTAGGACGGAGGAGGTGGGGGGCAGTAGCCCCCCCATACCCTATGTTTGTACCCTATGTGTGTACCATATGTGTGTACTTTATGTGTGTACCCTATGTGTGTGCCCTATGTTTGTACCCTATGTGTGTGCCCTATGTTTGTACCCTATGTGTGTGCCCTATGTGTGTCCCCTATGTTTGTACCCTATGTGTGTACTCGATGTGTGTACCCTTTGTGTGTACCCTACATGTGTACTCGATGTGTGTACCCTATGTGTGTTTGGTCGCCGACAGCACTTGCTCCAACAATCTGTTAAGGCGACATTGGGGCCACACGGGGGATCTTTGTGTTTGGGGAGCAGTGGGCGTGGTGGGGAGCGGTGGGCGTGGTGGTTAGCGGTGAGCGTGGTGGGGAGCAGTGGGCGTGGTGGGGAGCGGTGGGCATGGTGGTTAGCGGTGAGCGTGGTGGGGAGCGGTGAGCGTGGTGGGGAGCGGTGGGTGTGGTGGTTAGTGGTGGGCGTGGAGGGGAGCGGTGGGCGTGGTGGTTAGCGCACTGCGCGACGAACCCGGTGACCCATTCCAGCTCACGCCCAATCTGAGTGACGAAAATATGCACCGGTTCTGGGCCTCCCCTCCTCGTGTGCGTTGCCCACCTTAATAGGTGTTCGCTAACATCACTTTCCCCAATAGTCTGTTCACGACTATACGGGGGATCTTTGTCCTTGTGTATCATGAATAACCAGAATATGTATTTATACTGGAGGAATCCGATTACCTATGAAGCTCTTTGGAGTGCCAGGTGGCTCAGATTGTCGAGCGAGCAGCTAGCAATCTGAAGGTTGCGACTTCTAATCCTGGTTGGAGGTTGACTCAGCCAATCATCCCGCCGGGGTGACTAAATCGAGAACCGCTGATATGAGGAGCGTTTTCAACAGTGGTTGTCCTATGGATGGTCTCTTGGCCGTCATAGGAATGCGGAATTTCTGACCACAGGCTCAGGATTGTAAAGAGGATATGAGCACCAATGCCTCGATGCTCGTTTGAGTAGGAAATCACTTTGACTATACGAGTGTTGGTGTGTGTTTATGAGTGTGTATGATGAGTGTGTATGATGAGTGTGTATGATTAGTGTGTATGATGAGTGTGTATGATGCGGGTATATGATGAGTGTGTATGATGAGTGTGTGTGTGAGGGAGTGTGTATTATCAGTGTATGAGTGTGTTTATACTGGTAGGAACCTCCTGGTTACACCAGCCCACAGGGGATTATTGTGTCCGTCCGTCGTGCATCCAAAAATGGGAGGGGTGGGGCTGGGTGGAGAGGAGAGGGTGGGGAGGGGCTGGGTGGGGAGGGTGGGGAGGGGCTGCGTGGGGAGGGTGGGGAGGGGATAGGTGGGGAGGGTGGGGCTGGGTGGGGGGTGGGAGGGTTGGGGCTGGTTGGGAAGAGGCTGGTCACCCCGTGGTGCCCTTATAAAACTCAACGTTTAACCTACTCATGCCGGCTTGTGCCCGCCCTCACAGTCGGGCATATTTGCGGAATACACCACGTGCCGTCGTTGACCCTGGTAATTGACCGAGCAACCCAACGTTCCTACCAGCTCCCTCTGCAGGAATGTGTTGAGTGTGTATGATGAGTGTGTATGATGTGTGTGTTTGTGAGGGAGCGGTAATGTAGTGGGTGTGGGGGGCTGGTAGCAGATCCACCTTCTATTTAATTACCACAAAACCACGTGCAAAAATATCCAACTAAGCTAGTGTCGGAGGCCCCAAGGGGATAGGCGTCTATTACGTTTCCTGGCCAATCCCCATTTGGCAAAGCCAGGAGGCTGAATCCTTGCCCTCGGGGCTCCTCCAGAAACAACAAAAGCCATGGCGGGTGGCCACGTCGAATGTTCGAAAACTCACTGCGGAGGAGAGGCTGCCACTCCTCTGTCGGGAGCTGGACTGGTAACGCCTGGATCTCTGTGGTATTCAGGAGATCCGGTGGACCGGCTCTGGATCCTGCCACCTTGAGGGGTGGACAGTCCTCTACTCGGGACAGGAGACTGCCAAACAACAGGGAGTGGCTCTTCTTCTGAGCAAAATAATGAAGGAGTGGGAGCATGGTGGTGAGGTGTGGGAAGCTGTAAGCCCCAGGCTACTTTGGGCTTGTCTTCCCATAAACCAGAGGCGAGCAGTGGTGGTTGTGGTTATTCATGCCCCACCGAAGATGAGCATCAGTGTAGGGATTGAGGCAAGGTCGATGAGTCAGATGACTTCTATGACCTCCTGTCACAGGTGCTTGCTAAAGTGGCACCTCAGGATAGAGTCTTCCTGTTGGGTGACTTTAATGCCCAATTTGGTCATGATTATGGCACCTGGTCTGGAGTGATTGGAAGGCATGGGCCAGATCAGCTCAATAACAACGGTAGGAGGCTGCTCGACTTTTATGCACGTTGGGTCCAAGCAAGAACATCTGCTGGACTACATAGTGATGGAACAGTGGATGCGGGCCCATGTCCTTGAAACCAGGACCTACCGTGGAGTTTATCTGCCCACTGACCATTGGTTTGTCATCTGTAAGATGCGCCTGTCATTCTTCCACTCCGGTGGTGGTATACACCCAGGACCCCATTCAAACTCACAGTGGCCTGGTCTCCGCTAGCTGATGAAATTTGCAAGCGAGAATTTCATCATCGCTTGCAGCTGCGGTTGACATCGTCCCCCACTCCTCCTGATGCCGAGGGGAAATGGGCGAGGTTTAGGACTGTGGCTCATGCAGCTGCAATGGCTGCGTTGGGTACACGATCCAGATCTCCCCAGAGACCATGGCTGACAAAAGAGGTGTTCAGGCTGGCTGAGAAAAAGCGACAGGACCACTCTCACCGTCTACAGCATCCCACTTTAGAGAATGAGGAGGCTTACTGCAACCTTCGCTCGGAGGTTCGGAAAGCCGTGAGGTGCTGCAAGGATGGGTGGTGGTCGCGGGTTGCTGAGGAGATGGAGTAATTTTCAGTGCCACACCTATCATCATCATTAGGGGAAAGAAAGGTGTTCCGATCTCCAACCCCCAGGAACAGGTTTGCAGATTTTCTGAGCATTTGTGTGAGGTCTTGAGGGAGGGGAAATCCCTTAGTCTGAAAAATATCATGGGGCAAAGTGTAGAGGTAGTCACCCGCTGTGAGTGGCTGGCTGAGGTGCCATCTGTTGAGGAGGTACAAAAGGCGATCCAGAGTCTGAGACCGTCAAAAGCACCGGGCAGAGATGATATCCCAAGCAAATGCTGAGGGAGGGTGGCGTTTGTGCCCAGACTGCCCTACATGACATCATAATAAGTCTGGACCACTGGAGAGGTTCTGCAGGATTGGAAGTGTGCCCTGGTGGCCCCCCTCTTTAAGAAGAGGGACCGCACAGACTACAACAACTACAGGGGCATGTCCCTCCTCAGTGTGCCGGGAAAGGTCCTGACAAGGATTATTCAACATCGCCTTGCCAGGCACGCTGAGGAGAGGCTTGCGGAGGCCCAATGCGGTTTCAGGAAAGGGCGGTCCTGCACAGATCCCATATTTTCTGTCCGTCTACTACAGCAGAGATGTAGGGAATTCCAACAGGACCTACATATTTGCTTAATTGACCTGGTCAAGGCCTATGATACCATCAGTAGGCCTGGGCTCTGGGTTGTTCTTTGTGCTTTCGGAGTCCCTGACTCTACTCACAATCATTAAGGACCTTCATGATGGTGAGCAGGCCCGGGTAAAACTACGTGGCCGGGAGTCGGAGCCATTCCCTATTCACTTTTGGGTGCAACAGGGATGTCCTCTGGCTCCCACATGATTTAACATATATTTTTACCACGTAGTTCGTGAAGCCTTCAATGGCTGTACCGGAGGAATTTCCATCTGGTACAGATACAATGGGAGGCTAATTAATTCCCGGATGCGGTCAAGGGACGGCTCCCTATTGGTCAACCATGTTATGTATGCCAATGATCTGGTGATTGCTGCTCACTTAGAGGTGGAGTCGGAGGCGCTGCTGCTGCATCTGCCGCGTGCCACTAAGAGGTGGGGTCCTATCATCAGCCCCACCTGCCTGGATATTTTGTACCACCAGATACTCCACCCCCACAACTCCCAATTGGTCATGGGGCAGTTGTGGAGAGAGTGGAGAGTTTTCCATACCTGGGTAGTGTGCTCATGACCGGCTCCGGTTTGACAGCAGAGGTTTCGCTCCGAATCAGCCGAGCAGCATTATCTTTTAATCGGCTACGTAACGCTGTGCGGAAGCTACCTGGTCTGTCGCTCCACACGAATCTTCGGGTCTTCTCGCCCATGGTCATGCCCTCCCTTCTCTATGCTTGCGAAACGTGGAACCCGATAATGGAACATTTGCGTCGGTGAGAAATATTTAGGCTGGCCTGCCTACGATCCATCCTGGATTTAACCAGGCTGTATTGTGTGAGGAGCTCACAAATACTTGAAAGATCTGGAAAAGTCCCATCGGTGAGCTCCTTTGGCAGGCAAGGCTACGTTGGCTGGGTCATGTAGCCCGCATGCCCAGCCACCGCATGCCTAAACAGATTTTGTTCGGCCGGATAGAGGGGGCTAAACGGGCGTGGTACGAGTTAAAGCAGAGATGGAGTGATGTGGACCAGGAGGACTTGTAGCTGAGCGGACTTGCCGATGACTGGTACCAGCGGTGTCAATATCAGCCTCTGTGGAGGAGGCTCGTGAAGGACGCTACTGGGCAGTTGGAGGCAGTCGCCCTCCAGCAACAACGGAGGGCAGAGGAGCAACGCTCACAACAACGAGCGGAATGCCAGGTGGCTGAAATACATCAAGTTGGCACAGTAGGGGGCACAGGTGGTGCATCGGTCAGTGATCTCAGTCAGTCGACCCATGGCACCTGGGTCTGGCCTGTGACCTCCTGCCAGCGGGCTTTCGACACTTCACGTGGCCTTCACGTGAATATAGCCTGGCACAAGCGTCGTGGTGACGTCACCGCCACTTAGTGGCGAATGTTGTTGTTGTAAGCGGTTAGCACGTCGCACTCCGAACCCGGCGAGCCGAGTTTGACTCCCGCTCACGGCCAACACCAGTGACGATTATTTGAACCGGTCCTGGGTCTCACCTAGGCAGACTCAGCCTCAAATGATTACCTGGTGCGATTTGTGTAAAAAAAGCATAGCCACTAGGGAGGTGTTGGCCACCTACCCCCTCGTGTGCGTGCCGGGCTTCATAAGTGCCTCGCTAACAGCACTTGCCCCAACAGTCTGTTAAGGCTATACCCAGGATATTTGTCTTTGTTATGATGTGTGTGTGTGAGGGGCGGGTGTTGTTGTGTGAAGTTAAGTCAGCTCCCTCCCTCCCTCCTCCCTTCCCTCCCCCATTCCTCCTCTCCACTGATCACGGTCTCCACTCACGGCCAGCAGTCCGCCGCGCCAGCGTCAGGAACAGCTCAACTCGGGGAATCGTCGGGGGTATCAACGGGGACCTCATCGCACCCCCGCGTCTCCCCCCCGAGTCCATTCCATGGGGGTTAAGGTGTGGGAGCGAGGAGAGGTTCGATGCCACCACCAGCTCCGACTGAGGTTTGAGCCCGCGGGTCGCCGCTGTCATCCAGCGGTGAGCGTGTGGCGGTGGATCGTGAGAGTGACCACGAGGTCAAGGTCGAGAGGTCGTCACGGCCAAAGTCGTTGGTGGCACCGCACCTCGCCATCGCTTCCTACCTGCTGCCAGATCCTGCGGCGGTTGCGAAGTCAACGGCCGACGTTCAAGGTCCGCTCTCACAGTCTCATCATCGTCGTCATCATCGTTATCATCGTCGTCGTCATCACCCCCATGATCACAGACGTCCTCTGGGTGCCAGTAACCTGCCCTACTCCACCCTGCACGGGTGTCCCAAACATCACCCCCCACCACCACCACCCTTCCTCCCGTTTACACCTGCCGCAGATTTCTGTGTTGCATTCTATTCTGAACCTCCAAGTTGCTTACCCCATTACATATGTCTATCATTATTGTATCATTCCTTTGCCTTTCGGTTAATTACCAGCATTGGATATCGTCCCTTCTAGCGATGCGTTCTGCCCAAATCCACGTTCAACTTTTCCTAACCCTCCATAGATATATCTGCCCTGCTGCGTGTGTCAACCTATGATGCGTGTGCTCCCCCTTTCTGGTGTTGTAATTATTATTCTAATTTACATTTCTAAGGCGTATTTTATCCGCAGAACCAAATGCGTGAGAGTGTATGGACAACAGAAAATAAACAGAACCTGCAGGGTAAACGGCCAGAACGAAGAGGTAAAGGCCAGTTGAAAGAGGCGCGTTTTCAAGACGGCACTTGAATATCTCAAACAGCTCTGATTGTCTTCTTAGCAAAGGCAAAGCGTTCCAAAGATTGGGAGTTGCACTGGCAAAAAAGCCCGATCACGCCCGCAGGAAATGAGCTTGACTCCGAACAAGAAGACGATTCGGAGATCTCAGGGGACACCTCGTTCGAGTATGAGAGATGGGCCAGTTCCTCTGCATAATTCCAAGCGTTGCGCCACCTCTTCACGATACTTTGCGCACTTTTCATCCTGCGTGCTCCCAATGGCGGAGCAAGGATTTTCAGGTAGGCGGGGCAACCCCTCCAGCAATGAAAAATTATAGAGGAGTTACTAGTAAGTAAGAAGTTGTGTGTAAGTAAGGAGTTGTTAGTGAGTAAGTGCTTGTCCCTTGCTTTTTATTTGACGCGTGTGCGGCGATGGCGCAGCCATCGATCGAGGGTCGAGTTCGAACCGCGTTGTGTGATCGGCATCGCGCTCGCTGAAGGTGAATGCCTTCAGGGAAGTCGTGGACTGTATACGCAACTGCGCACAATTCTGAGTCACTTATAACCGCTTTGCCGTTACTTATTGCCAATTATGGACTCGGACTATTGTCCTATCATCTCATAGAGTCCCTGGCACGTAATAATATGCTACACAGTGGCAGTGTGGGTCGCAAAATGCCGATTACTAATGAACCCCAATTATCAGATCGAAATTAGGGATTTTGATCGGATCATCGTATTTACGTATGTGTGTGTATGTTAAAACTATTTCGTACTGTCTGTAGCCAACTGTGCTCATCGGATGTGCGCCGCTGTCTCTCCGTTCTCTTCCGTGCGTGCGTGTGACGATGGCAGCGGTAAGATGTTCAGGAGTTCGATGCCAATGTTGAGGTCTGCTACGCTCGCCACAACGAGAGGGCTTCGAGAGAGAGAGTTTGTGTCGTTTTGCTGTTCCTCCTCCTCCGTTTAAGGAGCGCAGACTACAGCGGTTTACTATATCGTCCATAGTTTCGTCTACAGCGACACACTCCACTGCTCCTGACACGGTTATCTGGCTTGGCTACCTGAATGTGAAATTGTAGTTTTTGCTCTGCGTCTACATCAGCCGGAAGAAAGAAGTTGGGTTTACATGGCCATAATCGCACAACTTCGGCTCGTCTTTAATGTATGTATATGTATCTATATGTGTCTCTGTGTATCTCTGTCTGTAGCTCTACGGGTCTCTGTCTGTATCTCGATGAGTCTCTATGGGTTTACTTTACGGTCCGTAGTTTGGGTTGCATGGCCACAAGCGCACTCCTGTGGCTCATGTCTTTAATTTACCATTGATGAAGGTGATGTGCGCCTGTTGGTGATGTTCTTAATGCGGCTGATGGTTCCACCGGTATCTTCGAGGAGGAATGTCAAGGCCACGAGGTGTGTGATGATGTTTGGGTCTCAAATGAGGAGGTGTTTATTGTGGACGTCCGCCTTTTTCCACTCTTTTCACCGCCAGCAGCAGCGTTCCTCCGGATTTGCCTTTCATAATCAAGTTCAGCTGTTCTTACTTGGACAAATAACAATGAAACGTCCTTCTGTCAGATTACTGCCGGATGAAGGTCTTAACACGCCATGTAGATCATGGAGAGGGTGGGGGGGGGGATGTTGACCATACTTCACCACGCTGACCAATGCGGATTTGTGGCCGGGGGCAGGACCGGTCCAGACGCCTTGGTTGATCCGTACGGATGATGCGATGTGGATGTTACGCCCATGTGATGTAGTAAGGAGCTGGGTCGATTGTTACATCGCACCGGACCCTGCGAGAGGTGATGGCGGATTCGAGAGGCCTTCATCCAGCAGTGGATTGATCATTTATGCTGATAATCCCCGATTAAATTGAGCCGTGGGAATTATCGGGCCCCACATGTTATGCTTAAGTACCCCCCCACCCCACTTCCTCGTAGAGTTTTGAGCTCTCCGCTCGCTCCACTTTTCTCACCACTTACCCTGCACCACCCGGATGTGAAGTGAGCAAGGAGGAGATGGGGGAGTGGGGAGGGTGTGAAGTCTTTAAAGAGAAGTGCCTCTGAGCCTTTGTTGTAATAATTCAATTATTGACTCGTTCGAGTGCGTGCGGTGCAGAGAACGAATATAAGAATGGGATGTTATCTGTGTCTCCGTGTCTCGTTGACTCTATGCACCCATGTCCCGTGTCTCTTTGACTCTATGCGCCCATGTCCCGTATCTCTATGACTCTACGCGCCCATGTCCCGTGTCTCTATGACTCTATGCGCCCATGTCCCGTATCTCTATGACTCTACGCGCTCATGCCCCGTGTTTCTATGACTCTATGCGCCAATGCCCCGTGTTTCTATGACTAATGTGCCCATGCCCCGTGTTTCTATGACTAATGTGCCCATGTCCCGTATCTCTGTGACTCTATGCACCCATGTCCCGTGTCTCTGTGACTCTTTGCGCCCATGTCCTCGTGTCTCTGTCTCGTGTTTCCGTGTGCCCAGGACTCCATGTGCAAACCTCTCTGCGTCTCTGCCTCCACGTCTTTCCCCCGTATTCATCTTGCTCCCCCCCCCTTTCGCTCCTGCTTGCTCCTTTTTCTTACCCTCCCTCCTATTGCTCCCCTCCTCCCCCCTAACCCTTGCCTCCTCGCCCCACCTCAACCTTGCTCCCTCCTAGCCCTTGCTCGCTCCTCATCACTGCCCTCTTCCCTCGTCTGGACTCCTTCCATTCTGCCCCCCGCCCCTCCGCGCTATACCTACGATCCACTCCTGCACCCCCCCCCTTCCCTCGGCCCTGCCTTCACCTCGCTGCCCCTCAATTTCCTTGCCCCCTGCATCACCCAGATGCGCTGCCGCTCCTCGGGGGAACTGGCCAGCGTCGCCCTCTCGATCCCGTTCACCGCGTCCCTGTGTCACCTTTCCCCCCCCCCCCGTCCCACCTTCATCTGCTTGCTCCCTCTCCTACCCCCTTGGGCCCCCTGACCCTCCGCCCCGACCCCCAGATGCGCTGCCGCTGCTCGTGGCAGCTAGCGCGCGCCGCCGTCTCGGCGCTGTTCGCCGCCTCTCTCCTCGCCTCCATCACGGCCGCGTACGCCGCGGGGTTCCGCCTCGCCTCCTCCGAGCGCTGCCACCTCTCGTTCGGCCTCTACGGCGCCGCGCTGATGCTGCACCTCGTAGCGCAGTCCGTGTGCGCCACGCTGGGGCACCGCGAGATGAGGCACCTCGCCCGGGTGCCACCCGCGCAAAGGGGCAGCGTGGCCCTCTGCATAGCGGCCTTCCAGGTCAGGGTTCACGATCGCGGTCTGGGTCTTCACTTCGTTGTCCTTCGACCCGCACCGCCGATGAGCACGGTCGGCTACGTACGATGCGAAAGAGGTTCAATGTAATACGTTGCCTCACACAGAGAGCCATAGACTCACACAGAGAGCCACAGACTCACACAGAGAGCCACAGACTCACACAGAGAGCCATAGACTGCTGCTACTCTACATTTCCACGTGACGATAAGCCACTTTGTTGGGCTATCATTTGTGATAGCCGGGTCGCTTCTGAAAAAAAGAGCTCAGTGGGCCTTACCTGGTACAAAAAAAAGTTTCAATATATAGTTTCTAGTTAATCCTTCCCCTGGCGTCGCCGCCTCTGCCGCCGCAGGAGGACCCCTGCTACCTGCGCGAGTGCCTCCTGTCGGCACGCCGCATCGCCTACCCGGACCTGCGCGTGCTCATGGTGGTGGACGGAAGCGCCGACGAGGACCAGTACATGGGGGACATCTTCGGCGAGGTGATGGGGGGCCCCGCCGACTCGCGGTGCCGCTGGGAGGGGAACTTCCACTCGGGGGCCCAGGACTCGGACGGGGAGTCCCGGGTGCGCGACGCCGTAAGGGCGCACCGCTACGCGTGCGTCATGCAGCGATGGGGAGGCAAGAGGGAGGCCATGTACACGGCCTTCCGCGTGCTCGCAGAGTCCGTGGACTACATACAGGTGAGTTCCGGCGGGGAGATGGTACGGGGTAGAGAAAGGGATGAAGCGGGGGGCGGGGCACGGGGTGGTGGTGGGGGGGGGGGCACGGGGAGGGAGAGAGGGTGCAGCAGACGGGGAGAGCGAAGGATGAAGAGCAGCACGGGAAGGGATCACGGGGAGGAGAGGGGGTGAAGATTCGGGCGGTGCGGATAAGGCAGAATGGCAGGGGTGGGATAGGCGGAGCAGAGTGGATCGGATGTGGGGAGAATGCGAGGGGCTTGAGAGGTCGGGGAAAGGGAGATGTAGGGGGTCATTGGATCACAGGGATGAGTGTGCGTGAAAAAATAGCTTCATAACTCATCGGATTCCTCCAGTCTAAATACAAATTCTGATTCTGAAACACGGGGGAATCGCATTGGGGGGGGGGGGGGGGAGGGGTTGACGTCGCAAAGGGAGGAGGAGGCGAAGGGAGAGTGCCTAGGGAGTCGTCCAACGCGCCCCTCCCCCGCCCAGGATGAGCAGCGTTACGTGTGCGCGCGCGCGTGCGTCTCAGGTCTGCGACTCGGACACCGTGCTGGACTCCGCGTGCACCCACGAGCTCGTGAGGGTGCTGGAGGCGGACCCCTGCGTCGGCGGGGTCGGCGGGGACGTCCAGGTGAGACAGGGGAGGGGACGTGCAGGTGAACGGTGGGGAGGGGATGTGCAGGTGGGGGTGGGGAGGGGACGTGCAGGTGACGGTGGGGAGGGGACGTGCAGGTGAACGGTGGGGTGGGGATGTGCAGGTGAGGGTGGGGATGTGCAAGTGAACGGTGGGGAGGGGAAGTGCAGGTGGGGAGGGGATGTGCAAGTGAAGGTGGGGGGGGGGTAAAGTGCGAGGGGGTGGGGGAGGAGTGGAATTGTGGGTGGCGCTGCCGTGAAAAACACTGACGACGCCAGAGTTGGTGTTGTGGCCGTGGGGCATGGTAATGGGCGTGATATCTGCTAGCATGGAAGCAACGGGAAGGATGGGATTAGGGTTCGGGATAAAGATCGGGTTATGCTTCGGGTGGGTGTAAAATAATTTCTCAGAAGAGTGGTGTTTTGTTACACTACAGTCTCATATTGATAAATTATCCCTTCACATTTGCTGCACGTAGGTGCCAGCGATGGTCCAAGGGTAATTTGATCGCCCGTCTGTAGCCGCCCATCTCCAAGTCCCTCCGTCTGCTTGCTTGTTTACCTGTCTGCCTGTATGTCCGCCTCTTCGTCTGCCCGTCTACTTGTTTATCCATCTGTCTACCTTCCTCCATCCCTCCATGCCCGACCGCTCGCCCGTCTATCCATCCGCCCCTCCCCCCCCCTCCTTGGCTGCCAGATCCTCAACCGGTACGCGTCGCTGCTCGCCTTCCTGAGCAGCGTGCGCTACTGGGTGGCCTTCAACGTGGAGCGCGCCTGCCAGTCCTACTTCGGCTGCGTGCAGTGCATCAGCGGCCCCCTGGGCCTCTACCGCAGCTCGCTCGTTCGTGAGATCCTCGAGGCCTGGTACGGGCAGCGCTTCCTCGGCTCGCCGTGCAGCTTCGGCGACGACCGCCACCTCACGAACCGCGTGCTCGGCCTCGGCTTCTCCACCAAATACACGGCGCGCGCGCGCTGCCTGACCGAGACCCCCGCGGGCTATCTGCGCTGGCTCAACCAGCAGACGCGCTGGAGCAAGTCCTACTTCAGGGAGTGGCTCTACAGCGCCACGTGCTTCCACAAGCACCACCTGTGGATGACTTACGAGGCGGTCGTCACGGGCTTCTTCCCCTTCTTCCTGGCCGCCACGGTGGTGCAGCTCTTCTACCGCGGCAGCGCATGGGCCATCCTTACCTTCCTGCTCATCGTGCAGGTGGTGGCGCTGCTCAAGGCCGGCGTCGCGTGCGCCCTGCGCGGCCGCGTCGTCATGATCTTCATGTCGCTCTACTCGCTCCTCTACATGAGCAGCCTCCTGCCGGTCAAGATTTGCGCCTTGGCCACCGTCAGCAGCGCCGGTTGGGGCACCTCGGGCAGGCGGACGATGGTCACCAACCTCGCCGGGCTCGTGCCCGTGCTCGTCTGGGCCGCCGTGCTGGCCGGCGGCGTGGTTCGCACGGTGAACAAGGAGATGGCCTCGCCTCCGGCCCCGTCGGAGCGGTCTTTGGTGTGGGCCGGCGCGGCGCTGTACGCGAGCTTCTGGGCCGTGCTCATGGCCCTGTACCTGGGGCTCGTGGCCAGGTGGTGCTGTCGAGGGAGATGGAGGCAGCACCTGTACGAAGTGCAACCGGACGTTTGATTGGATGGAAATTAATTCGAGAGATAGAGGAGGTAATAAGATGACTGCCACGTGGCCTCATTTGGCCGGAGCAGTCGGGGTTCCAGCAGTGGATGGAGCATGGCTGATGAGATGATAAGAACTGCCAGAGGACCTGGTTGACCGGGACCAGTCCTGGTTGTTTTTCAGAGACGCTGCTCCGTTAACATTTAAAATCATGGAGTGGTGGCACAGTTGTTCAGCACCCCACAGTGTGAACGACATCGCAGGTGACCTGAGAGTGGCATATGAGATCTGATCCGGGCCTGGTACAACTCCTTTCACCAACTTGCATTGACCAGCATGGTGAAGTATGGTCAATCAACCCCCCATGACCGACACGGCGTGACGCGGCCTGTGGGAGGAGGCCTTCATCCAGCAGTGGATTGACAAGGGGATTGTAATTACCACACGCATGCACAGTATTTATAAACACGGTACATTCATGTTTTACAGATTTCATGAAAGGATATCGTTGCACTTCATATTAATAAAGCATTATTGTTGAATAAAGATATTTGTACACCAAATTAGAGGTGTTCGCTTTACGCCTGCACACACATGGAGTGTGGCTGTTGTAGCATTTGTATAGTTGACGTGCTCAGCATTCGATTGTATGTTGAACTTCTTTCGCACCGTACGTAGTAGCCAACCGTGTACATCCGCGGTGTGGTTCTTTCAGTTGGCGCTGCGTGGACTGAATACCCGTTGAGTGTAAGACTCGTATTTTTCGATTCGAATATATTGTACGATCCTGCCAGCCCACTAGAGGCCGCTAAATCTACGGTAATATTTTGGACAACCATATTTTTTTTTACCCTGTGGCACCCCACAGAAAGGAGAGCGAGAGCCAAGGACGTGATGCATGGAAAAGGGAAGAGAGAAAAATGGGAAAACTATTTTTTATTTTACCAGGTAAGGCCCACTGCGCTATGTTGCTCTTTTTCAGAAGCGACCTGGCCACATATGATAGCTCAACGAAGTGGCTTATGTAGAAATGTATAGCAGCCAAATACTCGAAACGCATATTTATAAATGTGGAGGGGGAAAACGAGAGGACCCGGAGAACAATCCACACGACCAGGGGTAGAACATGCAAACTACAAATATATACAGGCGTCATGGTCAGGATCGAACCCGCGGCCTCCTCCATACCAAACAAGGGAGTTAACGTCTCGCCACCACGCGCCCTAACGATAAACTAAATCTGAAAAGTGTGCAAAGCAGCATGGAGTGATGTGTGCTTTCAATGACACCGAGACATGCAAATCGGAGAAAATATTGACACAAAATAATTGCTGTATTGTGAAGGGTCATTTCCCGAAACGTCACCTACTATAGGCGCCACGGTGGCGAGATGTTCATTACCTCGTCTGGTATACAGGAGGTCGTGAGTTCGATTCTGACGCCTGTATATTTTGCGTTTTGCATGTTCTCCCTGGGGTCGCGTGGATTTTTCTCCGGGTTCTGGTTTTTCGCTCCACATTTAGAAACATGCGTTTAGAGTATTTGGCTAATATTAATTTTCACACGATAAGCTACTTCTTTGAGCTATCATTTGTGGCCAGGTCGTTTCTGAAAAAAGGCCTACAGTATATAGCTCAGCGAGCCTTACCTGGTGAAATAAAAAAAAGTTTTAAGATATGCTTTTTTATTTTTAAATCAGTACTTTTGATGAATGTATTTAATTTATGTTATCTGTGCACGTGCACCACTGCCGACGCAGCAGGAACAGCATCACTAAATAAATTTGTAATGGGTTCCAGGAGACTTGCGACGTAACTTGGAGGCAACACTTAAATTTATAACGACGTAACACGGCACCCTTTTTCCCCGTTCTCTAAGGAGGTACAGCCTCCGGGCTAACGTGCCCTATCACTCGGGGTAACCTAGCGCCCTCTGGCTAGGGGTGACCTACGACCGAGCCAAGGTACGGGTCCTGACCACTGGTCCGTACTCGGGCCCGGCCCTTACAAGGACGTTGTGTCCCGAAGTCCCAGGGTCCTAGCTAGGGAGGCTAGGCTGACCCGACCCAACCAAGGTATGGGTCCTGACGACTGGTCCACGCTCGGCCCCGGCCCTTACAAGGACGTCGGGTCCCAGGGTCCTAGCCTAGCTTGTCTTCAGTCTTCGTAGCACTCCTCGAGCCGACCTGCGAGCCGCCTTTTATACACGTCCCGGGGACTCTCCACCCCCGGTACCGCCCCCTTTCTAGAACCTTCCAGGGGATCCTGGAAAGCCCCCCCCCAAGCACCTCACCTGGAGTTGGGGAGGGGAACCCGGCCTCTCTATGGTCCGGCTCTCTATCCCCTTAAACAGGTTGGCGCCCCCTACAGACCCCTGGCCGCAACTGCAGGTAAGTGAACAGGCAGTGTGTGCATACGTATTTCCGACGCTACACGTTGATGAAGCAAGTCGGTTTGGGTAGGGGACACATCATGGCGAGATGGTAGTGGAGGGTCGAGACTAAGAACGGAGCAGCAGCCAAAGGAGAGATCACGCCCGACAGGGCATCCACGGCGAGAGATGGGAGCTATGCAATCAGCCCGTGCGCAGGGGCTATGGGTGGATTGGTGCATCACAAAACCGTGAAGAGATGGCGACTGTTTGGATAAATCTTCATTCAATAGTGGATTGATCATGGCTGATGTTGATGATTCAAGAAAATCGATTATTGAGTGGTAGCGCCACCTCGAATGGAATCGATACACCCAAAGCTGTTACGATAATGACAGTATTCACGGTTAAATTTTGATTTAAAGCTTTCGTGACTGCAGGGATTCATATTCTTGGTTCTTTCGGTAAAGTCACGTAGAAGGGAAACAATAAAATATTAAAAATAAAAAACAATAAAATTATCACGACGTTTCGACTGCAACACAAGCAATCATCATCAGGTGTGGTTTTCACACCTGATGATGATTGCTTGTGTTGCAGTCGGTACTTCCGATTAGCACGATTGGCTATGTACGGTGCGAAAAATGTTCAACATACATACATATGTATTGGCTGGACGTGCCACCACTTCTTTCGCACCGTACGTGGCCAACCGTGCTAACCGGATGTGCAGGGGAAGGACAGCTAAACACAAAAAGCGGTTCTCAAGAAATGGGTTAGAATTCACTTGATTTAAAAGTATATAGCGCCAGTGGCTTCCTAATATCGGAAGAGCGTTCCAGACGGCTGCAGAAACGCGTCTGAAAAAGCGCGATGCAGTGGCAGTCTTGGTCTATGGCCAGCCAAAAGGCGCTGCGAGGATGACCAGAGTTCGCGTGATGATGGTTTATGCTACTTGACGAGATCAGCAAGGTGTTTGTGGTTTATTTGTGGCCAAGCACTTTTGTGTGCAATGAGTGCGACCTTATGGGACGTCACTAGAGTCCCATATTGATTGGCACGCTGGATCGTACCCTTAAATGTATACAATATATACCATTGACGATGTTTGAAACTCTCGCGTCGAACAACCCGGGGACACCCAGTCTCCCGCAGTATAGCTACGAGATATGAGCCGCTTCTGTTTTGTGTTGCATCTTCCGCTGCAGCATCGTAGCAGCATTTGAGTCGTTTTATGTGCTACGAAGGACCATTTCCCGACGCGTCGCCTATCATATACAGTATTTAAATGTTAAGGCCACACACAGTTTTATGGACCAATGAGTGATTTTATTTTGTAAATAAGTGAGCAGGGAGGAGCAGAGCTTGGGCAAATCGTCCGGTGACGGGGGATTCCCCAGTGACGTCACTCGATATTCAGAGTGCGCGAGGCTTGGGTTGAGTGTACGACGTTTCATTCTCAGGTCCTCGTCTCACCTCTTCATCTCGCCAGTCACCAGTCATCTCCATTACCAAAGCTCACCTCATCTTCATATTTCCGAATCACATTACTCACCTCTTCACATCTCATAATCTTATATTCTTCACCTCTTCATTTACCACAGCTTAACTCATTTCACCTCGTCACAGTTATCACCTCATCTCACCACTATCTCCCATCTCTCATCATCATCTCATTCCTCACTTCAACCTCATGACTCTTGGAGTCGAAGATGTTAATGTATATGCTAATGAATGTCTTATTGTACGGTAATGCATATGTTAATGTATATGCCAATACATATGTTAATATGTTTGTTGTATGTTTTGATACTGGTAGGAACCTCCTGGTTACACCAGCCCACAGGGGGTTATTGTGTCCGTCCGTCGTGCATCCAAAAATGGGAGGGGTGGGGCTGGGTGGAGAGGGGAGGGTGGGGAGGGCTGGGTGGGGAGGGGAGGGTGGGGAGGGGCTGGGTGGGGAGGGTGGGGCTGGGTGGGGGGTGGGAGGGGTGGGGCTTGGTGGGGAGAGGCTGATCACCCCGTGGTGCCCTTATAAAACTCAACGTTTAACCTACTCTCGCCGGCTTGTGCCCGCCCTCACAGTTGGGCATATTTGCGGAATACACCACGTGGTGCCGCCGTTGACCCTGGCCATTGACCGAGCAACCCAACGTTCCTACCAGCTCCCTCCGCAGGAATGTGTTTTATGTGGTTATGTATATGTTAATGCTTGTTGCGAAAGCCTACGTGTTAAACTGGCTTGTTTAAGTGTATGCACATGTATAGGTCAATGCACACGTGAGTGCATATGGCATTGTGTATGTTATTGCAGATGTTGATGTTTATGTTAATGCATATGTTGATGCGCGTGATTGTCACACAAGTGACATCACATATATCCCTCTATTTAAGACCGAAACAGGAGGAGGATTTCTCCACAACTTTGGCTGTCGCCTGATGATGCCGGTTGTAATTACTGGCGAAACATCGTACTCGAATTCTAATTGTTGTGGTGGGTTTACTCTCCAACACAACCGGTGTGCTGTACTAGTAACGAATTGGCATCGTTTGTTTACGTGACAAACCTTACTAATTGGCTGTGTCGGCTGGTGGTGGGTTTAACGACATTTATATTTACGTGATCCAACCCAAAAAACCTCTATTATGGATAATATTGGTCGCGAAAGCCTAGGTTTTAAACTCCACGATTCAGTTTTCTACTCATCCAAAGAGCCTCGGCACCATACTCGACATGAATGTCGTTTGATCACCACGTGCAAAAAAATAGTCAGGTCGTGACATTTTCATATCGGGGTGCTCGACGAGACATCCGACCACTATTGAGTCGTGACATAGCCAACACAGTTGCGTGTGACATAGTCTCAACAAGGCTCGAATGTTATACCTGTCAACCCATACGCTTTACCTCGTATTCTTGTACAGGGTAATTGAGTTTTCAGGTCCATATGGCGTAGAGCCGTTTCAATACGGGCAACATTTTTTTTGTCTATTTGTTTGCGTTTCTCCCTTGTGATCGGACTTTGTAGGATGAACGTTGAGATTTTTAAGGGCACGGGGTGACCAATAAGGTGTGAATCGGGTCTGTAATAAGGTAGGCAGCGATAAGGGGTTGTTTTATTGCAACTCACTACTCTATGGGACGTCTGGCAAACAAACATTACCAGGCTGCACCGTGTACAAAACTCGTTGGCACGTGTCGTGACGGGTACTGCAAGATCCGACCATGGTTTATGCAAGGAGCATAAACCATCACCACACGAATTCCGGTCATCCTCGCAGTGGCTTTTGGCTGCTAGCCATCGAACATAGACGGTCACTGCATCGCGCGGTGCTTTCAGATGCGCTTCTGCAGCCGTCTGGAACGCTCTTCTTTCCAATATTAGGAAGCCACTGGAGCTATGCAACTTTAAATCATCTACATTGAAAACTCATTTCTTTAGAACTGATTTTTGTGTTTCGTTTGTTGTCCTTCCCCCGCACCTCCGATTAGCACGGTTGGCTACGTACGGTGCGAAAGAAGCTCTCTACAAACTTACATAGTATAGGAGGGTCACCTCCTTGCATTCCTTACCTCAGGATCACCTCTTCACATTTCTTATCTCAGGATCACCTCCTCACCTCAGCGTGACCTTCTCACATTCTTCACCTCAGGGTCACCTTATCACTCACATTCCTTATCTCAGGGTCACCTCCTTATCTCAGGGTCACCTCCTCACTCACATTCCTCACCTCAGTGTTAACTCTTCACTGACATTCCTCACCTCAGGGTCACCTCCTGACCTCGGGGTCACCTCCTCACTCACATTCCTCACGTCAGGGTCACCTCCTCACTGACATTCCTCACCTCAGGGTCACCTCCTGACCTCGGGGTCACCTCCTCACTCACATTCCTCACTTCAGGGTCACCTCCTCACCTCAGGGTCACCTCCTCACTCACATTCCTCACCTCAGGGTCACCTCCTCACCTCAGGGTCACCTCCTCACTGACATTCCTCACCTCAGGATCACCTCCTCACCTCAGGCTCACCTCCTCACTGACATTCCTCACCTCAGGGTCACCTCCTCACTGACATTCCTCACCTCAGGGTCACCTCCTCACCTCAGGGTCACCTCCTCACTGACATTCCTCACCTCAGGGTCACCTCCTCACTGACATTCCTCACCTCAGGGTCACCTCCTCACCTCAGGGTCACCTCCTCACTGACATTCCTCACCTCAGGGTCACCTCCTCACTGACATTCCTCACTTCAAGGTCACCTCCTCACTGACCTTCCTCACCTCAGGGTCACCTCCTCACCTCAGGCTCACCTTCTCACCTCAGGGTCACCTCCTCACTGACATTCCTCACCTCAGGGTCACCTCCTCACCACAGGGTCACCTCCTCACTGACATTCCTCACCTCAGGGTCACCTCCTCAAGGTCACCTCCTCACTGACATTCCTCACCTCAAGGTCACCTCCTCACTGACATTCCTCACCTCAGGGTCACTTCCTCACCTCAGGCTCACCTCCTCACCTCAGGGTCACCTCCTCACTGACATTCCTCACTTCAGGGTCACCTCCTCACTTCAAGGTCACCTCCTCACTGACATTCCTCACCTCAGGGTCACCTCCTCACTGACATTCCTCACCTCGGGGTCACCGCCTCACTGACATTCCTCACCTCAGGGTCACCTCCTCACTGACATTCCTCACCTCAGGGTCACCTCCTCACTTCAAGGTCACCTCCTCACTGACATTCCTCACCTCAGGGTCACCTCCTCACTGACATTCCTCACCTCAGGGTCACCTCCTCACTCACATTCCTTATCTCAGGGTCACCTCCTCACCTCAGGGTCACCTCCTCACTGACATTCCTCACCTCAGGGTCACCTCCTCACTGACATTCCTCACCTCAGGGTCACCTCCTCACTCACATTCCTTATCTCAGGGTCACCTCCTCACCTCAGGGTCACCTCCTCACTGACATTCCTCACCTCAGGGTCACCTCCTCACCTCAAGGTCACCTCCTCACTGACATTCCTCACCTCAGGGTCACCTCCTCACTGACATTCCTCACTTCAAGGTCACCTCCTCACTGACCTTCCTCACCTCAGGGTCACCTCCTCACCTCAGGCTCACCTCCTCACCTCAGGGTCACCTCCTCACTGACATTCCTCACCTCAGGGTCACCTCCTCACCACAGGGTCACCTCCTCACTGACATTCCTCACCTCAGGGTCACCTCCTCAAGGTCACCTCCTCACTGACATTCCTCACCTCAAGGTCACCTCCTCACTGACATTCCTCACCTCAGGGTCACTTCCTCACCTCAGGCTCACCTCCTCACCTCAGGGTCACCTCCTCACTGACATTCCTCACCTCAGGGTCACCTCCTCACCACAGGGTCACCTCCTCACTGACATTCCTCACTTCAGGGTCACCTCCTCACTTCAAGGTCACCTCCTCACTGACATTCCTCACCTCAGGGTCACCTCCTCACTGACATTCCTCACCTCGGGGTCACCGCCTCACTGACATTCCTCACCTCAGGGTCACCTCCTCACTGACATTCCTCACCTCAGGGTCACCTCCTCACTGACATTCCTCACCTCAGGGTCACCTCCTCAAGGTCACCTCCTCACTGACATTCCTCACCTCAAGGTCACCTCCTCACTGACATTCCTCACCTCAGGGTCACTTCCTCACCTCAGGCTCACCTCCTCACCTCAGGGTCACCTCCTCACTGACATTCCTCACCTCAGGGTCACCTCCTCACCACAGGGTCACCTCCTCACTGACATTCCTCACTTCAGGGTCACCTCCTCACTTCAAGGTCACCTCCTCACTGACATTCCTCACCTCAGGGTCACCTCCTCACTGACATTCCTCACCTCGGGGTCACCGCCTCACTGACATTCCTCACCTCAGGGTCACCTCCTCACTGACATTCCTCACCTCAGGGTCACCTCCTCACTTCAAGGTCACCTCCTCACTGACATTCCTCACCTCAGGGTCACCTCCTCACTGACATTCCTCACCTCAGGGTCACCTCCTCACTCACATTCCTTATCTCAGGGTCACCTCCTCACCTCAGGGTCACCTCCTCACTGACATTCCTCACCTCAGGGTCACCTCCTCACTGACATTCCTCACCTCAGGGTCACCTCCTCACTCACATTCCTTATCTCAGGGTCACCTCCTCACCTCAGGGTCACCTCCTCACTGACATTCCTCACCTCAGGGTCACCTCCTCACCTCAGGGTCACCTCCTCACTGACATTCCTCACCTCAGGGTCACCTCCTCACCACAGGGTCACCTCCTCACTGACATTCCTCACCTCAGGGTCACCTCCTCACCACAGGGTCACCTCCTCACCCCCCTCTCGCCACACGGCGGCAGCCATGGCCGGGTGCGAGTAACGCTGGCTGCCGTCCCCAACTCAACTGGGACTCGAACCCTCGCTCAGGTGGGTCCGGGGAACCCGGCTCGGGGAGTCGAACCGCGGCGTTTCGCCTCACCCGGCGCTAGGGAGTCCCCGGCGGGGGTCTGTGAGATGCCGGAGACGGTGCGAGAGGAGGATACCAGCATCCACACCTGACCCTGACCCAGGGTGAGGGGTGCCGGTGGAGGCACCTAGGAAAGAGCGGAGGCTTCGCGTGCGTGCGGCACAACTAGGCCACGACCTTAACTTCTCCGTCTGAGACTGCCGCTAATTATCCTGATCATCTGCAGATTTTAGTTATACTGCCGATTAATCTGTCACTGCCGATTCTTTTACTGCTGATTATATTTCTGGCTACTAATAGCTGCTGTTGTTTTTTTTTTTACTGCTGATGCTACTATTGATTCTACTTATGCTGATTCAGCCGCTTGCTGCTTTTCATGACGCTGCTGATGGTGTATAATTATTTTGGTCAAACTTATAATAGATATACGTACATATCTTTTACCAATCCATCGCAATGATAAAGCTGCTGCTGATGGTGATGTTATTGATGGTGATGGAATGGCTGGTTGTGATGGTGATACTGATTGTACTGTTGCTATCCGATGAGGATGTTAATGTTGCTGCTATTGATGCTCATCTTGATGGGAATGCTGATTGTGATGATGTGTACCTGGTGATGATGCTAACGATGGTTTATACATAGCTGTCAACCCATAGAGTTAACCCCGCATTCTTGTACAGGAAAATTTAGTTTTCAGGTCCGTACAGCCGTTTCAATACGGGCAAAAAAAGTGTGTTGTCTGTTTGTGATTCTCGCTTGTGATGGGACTTTGTAGGATAAACGTTGAGATTTATAAGGGGCACGGGGTGACCAATAAGGTGTGAATCGGTCTGTAATAAGGTAGGGCACTGATAAGGGGTTGAAACCGCGATGTGGTTATGGTGGAAAAGCGGTTGAGGAGGCTACATGAAGGTCACACACAGGAGCCTGGAAGTTGGTGGGACTGTGACACTGTATTCATACTGGTAGGAACCTCCTGGTTACACCAACCCACAGGGGATTATTGTAGCTGCCTTCAACTGGTCGGTGGAGGTTTGTTGGTTGGTAGTGGTGGTAATGGGGAAGGGGTAGATGACGGTTTGCTTTGGTCTCAAGGATGGAGAGCGCAAAGTGCAGTCGCAGTTCGCGCACTGCGCCACGGACCCAGCAACTCGAGTTCTATTCCTGCTCCACAGCTAACAGCGGTGACGAATATCTGAACCGGGGCCTTGGTATCCCCTGGGTCGACCTAGCCTTAACTGAGTACCTGATGCGATGTATAACTATCGCCACTGGGGAGACAAAGGCAGCCGGGCTTGGTGCTAGCCAAGCATAGCCTCGTGTGCTGTGCCGGCCTTAATCGGTGCGCTTGCCAAATTCTTTAAAAGTTTAAACGTTCCTTCTCTCACCTGACCCAGTCGCATCACCTAGGATTCAACCTCCCCCATCTGACTCCCAATACCTGACCCTTAACACATTATCCATCACTAGAATTGTTGTTACCATTATTATGAAATGTTTGTCTTTCTATTTGTTAACATAATTATTTAGTTTGTACCCCTGTTATTGGGCTTAGTGTTAAATTCAACGGAGATACATGTACTTTATATATAAAAATGCTGCCTTTAGAAGACTGTAATGTTTTTAGATGTGGGTGCGATGTCTAATGGGATAAAATCAGTTGGACGGAGATGTAAGAGTGACAAAGAACTGCCAAAAAATCTGAGCCGAGCATGTTGCCACAGGGAAAGCCTTGTTGCTAGGCTCTCTCAAGAGAATGGATGCTGGAGAAATAGGCCAAGGGATAGGAAAATCAAGGTGCTGTTTGGTACTTAGTAGAAATTATATCTGTACAAGGGCACGACCAGAGGGAATGGTCGGAGCTTGAACCAAGAACCTGCCCAATATGGCAAGCGATGTCTGAACTGAAACTGGGCAACTTTTTACTTCACCAGCCCATACCGACCAGCGTCATGAAGTATGGTCAAACCACGCCCTACGTCTGACACAGCGTCAGGAGGACTTCATCAGAGGAGTGGATTGACAATTAGCTGTAAAAATGTCGGTATTTTATCGTGGTTTGTTTTATCATTGCCATCATTAATTTTGTAGCTACTATAACAACCGATATTCGTTTTAATTAATATTATCGTTGTTATTCAGATCGGCCATGACGAGTGCTCTCTGCGTGTCTCTCCGGGTCGGATGGGCGCACGGCGCCTCTGTGCTCCGTGTCTCCGTCGCCGGTCCCCCTCCTTCCTCACGCTGGGACCCCCTGCGTCGTCCGGCCCAGAGAGGCTACATCTCCCTGCCCGCGGAGCGCAAGGCTTCACCGCCGCTAAACCCAGAGCAGGTAAACTAAACTTGAAATAAACTTTTCATTTTGTTTTACCAGGTAAGCCCCTCAGCGCTATATAGCTCTTTTTCAGAAGCGACATGGCCACATGATAGCTCAACGAGGTGGCTTATTGTGTGGAAATTTATAGTAGACAAAGACTCTTAAAGCATGTTGATTCTAAATGTGGAGGGAAAAACTGAAGGTCCCAGAGAAAAATCCACGACCACGGGGACAACATGCAAACTCCAAATATACAGGCATCAGGGTAGGGATCGAACCCACGACCTGCATACCAGCCGAGGTAGTTAACATCTCACCACTTTGATAAGACACTACAATGTGACGTCTCCACCAATAGTGTCGTGCCACTGAGTGTTGGTGTCTTCTCAGCTAGAAGAACCATTATTGCATTGGATCGACTGCTCGGATATTCTATCTCCACATACTTCTGTTCTTGAAAACTAATTTCTTTAGAACTGCCTTTTGTGTTTAGTTTGTTGTCCTTCCCCTGTACCTCTGATAAGCATGGTTGGCTACATACATTGCGAAAGAAGTTCAACATATACATTCTGCGTGTATTCTCTTGTCACATCCACCATATTTCGAGAAACGTCGTGAGAATATTATTGTGTTATTTTATTTTATCAATTTATTATTTTATTCTCATTTTACGTGACTTTACCGAAAGAACCAAAGAAGATGACATCCACCATACTTATTACAAAGAGACCAATAGACCTGCATACGCTTATATGGCTACGTACGGTGCGAAATAAGTTCAGCATACATATATACATGAACCTTAGAATTACATAAAGACCCATAGACTCTGACAAATGTATATGATCCATAGACTTACATTGAGATCCATAGACTCACATGCACTTACATGGTCTATATACAGTAAAACCTTGGATTGCGAGTAACTTGTTCTGCGAGTGTTTTGCAAGACGAGCAAATTTTTAAAATAAATATTAATTTGATAAACGAGCGAGGTCTTGCAATATGAGCAGTACGTATACGCTTTGTCTGCCGAGCGTCACGTGATCATAACTGAGACAATGGTTCTTCTCTCTCTCTCGCTGCGAGATTGTGGGTAATCGTCTCCCATGCTCGGTCTCAGTCCGCGTGCCTCACTCGAATAGTCAACATCCGTGCGAGCGTATACTGTTTACTACAGTACTATAGTGTTGTGACCACGTGTATACTGTTTACTACAGTACTATAGTGTTGTGACCACATGTGTGTGCGTAAAGCATTTTTTTATTTTGTGTCCAAGTGTAGTGAGTGTTCTTTAGTATCTGTACTGCAACAATGGCCCCTTCTTCTCTCCTCTCTCTCGTCTCCCTCACACCAGCCACGATTACATTTAATTAATAAATGTGATTACTTTATATTACATTTAAATAATAAAAATATAAAAAGGTATTTTGTATTAATAATTTTTATATGAATATGTTTGGGTTGTGGAACGAATCATCTGAGTTTCCATTATTTCTTATGGGGATATTCGCTTTGATACACGAGTGCTTTGGATTACAAACACGTTTCCGGAACGAATTATGCTCGCAATCCAAGGTTTTACTGTACTTGTATACAGACTTATAGATATACTAATATAATCCATAGACTTAAATAGAGTGCCATAGACTTAAATCTTATTTTTCTTCACCAAAAGTCCCATGAGGGAAGTGGAGTCTATAAGTCACATCCACTAGTCCTCACATCTCAGTCCACCACATCCCTTACATCTCACTCTCGGTGGCTCCTTCCTTTGCCTGCAGGTGGACGGGATCCTGCGCACGGACGAGTTTGAGTGTGAGCTGGAGCGGGAGTTCCGCGGGGGGACTGTGCTCAGCCTCCACAGCAACCAGCTAGCGGCGAACACCCCTGTGGAGGACCGGCGCACCGCCGCCACCTGCCTGCACACGGGAGGGCTTCTGGTGGCGCCTCCATACACACACACACAAAGACCAAGATCCCCCATGTAGCCTTTAACACTCTCTTTGGGCAAGTGCTTTTAGTGAGCACCTATGTTGGCCAGCATAGCACACTCGGGGGTAGGTGGCCAACATTTACGCCTGGCTGCCGTTGTCTGAACTTTACACACAGCACCAGGTGAAATTTTTTAAGCACCCGTGTTTTTGGTCATGAGCAGCAATTGAACCGCTACACTACGGCGCAAAAAATAACAAAGACACACATGCACACACACACACAAGCATGCAGACGCGTGTACACAAATGAGTGAATGCATGTACACAAACACATAGGCCCTCCCATGATAACTGAGCTAATGCCTCTTCCTCATTGAGATAACTCTCACTGCATTATCTCTCTCATCGGGAAACTGCGTCATCTTCAACTCTACCTGATCATCGTCCTTATCTTTCAATCATCATCAGCTATTCTACACCATGGTCTCAATCCCCCTCATGTTATCATCCTCATCACTCCATCATCAATCAACTCTCTCTCATTGGCATCATCTTTTCAACTTCAATGCTACATAATCTTCATCTCTTGTTCATCATCATCTCTTACCCAATACCACCACCATCATCATCACTCCCTCGAGTTGTTTTTCTTCTCCCACCCCCTCTAATCTCTCAACCCGAATACCGCTCCGCACCCACGCAGGTGGGCGTCTTCGACGGCCATGGTGGCTCCACTTGCGCGCAGGCGGTGAGCGAGCGCCTCTTCGGCTACGTGGCGTCGGCGCTGCTGCCCCAGCACACGCTGCTCAACTTGGAGGCGGCCGCTGAGGCCCGCGAGGCCGCACTGCAGGAGGGCGGCTGGGCCCTGCTGAGCTCCGAGCTGGGTCAGGCGCAGGGCCAGGGCCTGGCGTACCTCCCGGCGCCGCCGGAGCTGCTGCGCTGGCACGGCCCTGCACCTGGAGGCACGGCAAGGACGCACTACAGCGAGAGCCTGCGCACGTTCTGGCAGGAGCTTATCGACCTGGACAACGGGGAGGGCCTCGGAGTGCGCGACGCGCTCATCACCGCGTTCAAGGTCTGCGGCGGTGCGATGCGGTGCTGTGTAGTGCGCTGTTGATTCATCCGGTGGCCAGATGCGGACCACACGTCAGAAGAAACGTAGCGCTAGGCTTGACATGTTCGTCAATAACACGGTGGCTTTAAAAGGAAAAATCTGTATGAGGTGATGTTTCGAACAATGTCCTTTCTTTATAAGTCTTAAATAGAGAAGCCAGGGAGATAGAGCGGATATGAGTAAGCGGATAATACGCTTCCTTCCTATGCCTGTCTCTCCACTTAGAAATAAAATTACAAGAAGGCCATGTGGCAGTCTTGAGATGCGATCGTATTCAGCTGCTCTATACGTTAAAATTGATTTAATTTAACACGCAGGCTTTCAAGACCAATGTTATGATTCAACACAGATTTTTGGATCAGATTGCAAAAGTGGTTGGTTTAGGTGAGTGGTGGTGAACCTATGTACTGACGACTGCATGGGCCTACCACTTCAAAACACTCTAAAATAATATCTCAACCACACTAAACCAGGTACTGACTGGAAACATCTTCGACCTGGCAACACCACTAATTCAAGTGCCAGGCTCATTCACTTCTGTCACTGCAAGGTCCTCTTTACACTCGGTCGACATGAACCTTGTTTTTCCCATTATTATTATTGTTGGATAGTGCCGAGCTGTGTGTGTAATTGCGTTGTACGGTTAATATTCCAGTGCATGTTTCGGGGAATGGCAAGCGTATTGAAAGGCAACAAGAAAGAACGCCGAGCGTTCCTTTATCTGTGATCGCGCGACAACAGGCATGATATGTCGCTATCGCTCGCCCTCGCCGTGATATCACTTCAGCTCCTGTGTTTACGCAGTGGGCGGGGACAGTGCCAACAACAACGTGGATGCCAGCCCGTGCCCGTCGCCCAAAAGCAACGGGAATACAGAATGCGGTTTACGTGTTCTCCAGCTCCAAAATAAGAGCTTATTACAAAGCTGAAACTAAAAATAGGAAAGGGGTGTGTGCATGACTGGGTACGTGTGTGCGCGTGTGTATGTACGTGCGTGCAGCATGTCCCGTCGGATTAGCCGTGTGCCTTTCTCTGCCAGAATGACCCGAGCTGAGCACAACAGGCGTGCACACGCGTGCCGCTGGACTCGTTCCACGCTTTCCGCATCATTGCTGGGCTGATGGAGCGAGACAGATGCTCATTAACGAGCTGTGCTCTAGAAATAGATCACTGCCCAACGCAAATTCGTTATCAAGTATCCGTGCCACTGATGGTGGAGTGGAAGCCAAGGGAGGAAAACGCGCCCTGGAGGATGTACACCGAGGAGATGGAGAGAATGACCGAGCATGTGTGCGGGCGTCAGGTGGATCCTGACATTGCGGGATCGTGAGAGATAGCGAAAGCTTGGGGAGGCCTTCATCCAGCAGTGGACTGATCATGGTTTATGGTGATGGAAGATTGAGTGAGGCTTTCCTGGATACATAGAGGGCATTATTATGTCAGGGAGTGGTGGAGGTTGGTGGTACCTGATGTTCAATGCTGTTGAAAGTCATCTGTATACCTGGCGTGACACCTCAAGGCTTTCCTTAAAAACACACAAATCTTGCAGTGATTGGTACACAGACTATTAATTTTCCACTATATAACCAAGTCTCACCAGTGGCCGCGTTGAGTTAGCCTGGCGGAGCTCAGGATGCGCCAGGTTGTTTTTTTCCACTGGAGAACCCATACCGTGATGCTAATTTAAAAAAATTAGCAATGCCGCCCCTAGCCCTGCTTGGGTCTGAGGCAGATTCACACATCGCAGAAGATCCCCGGTTTTGATCTTCCACCAAGCTCATGGTCCACCCTAAATTGCATCCGCACAAACCATGGCAGATGTGGATACCTGATGCACAAATGGAAAATTAAAAACTCTCCGGTAGTGTGCGACTGGTTATCCAGAACAGACCATACAACATGTAGCGACGCAATTCCCGATCCACAAAGACATCACAGAGATACACTCCGCTGCTCCTGACGTGGTTGTCTGGCTTGACCGACTGAATGTTCAATTGCAGTTGTTCCTGTGCATCCACATCAGCCGTATGAAAAAAATAAATGAATAATGGCTGCAGAAATCAAAGAGTTTAGTTTTACTCGCGCACGCTCAATCCGAATCTAACCACTGCCGCCGCATTTGTGCACAGAGACTGGACTCGGATATCTCGCTGGAGGCGCAGGTGCCGTGGGAGCACCCGTCGCTGGCACGCAAAGCCCGGCGCACGGCCTTCTCGGGCTGCACGGCGTGCGTGGCGCACGTGCACGGGCCTGACCTCCACGTCGCCAATGTGGGTGACAGCCGCGCCGTGCTGGGCGTGCGCCGCGCCGACGGCTCCTGGAGCGCCCTCTCGCTCACCAACGACCACTCGGCGCAGAACGAGAAAGAGGTCGCCAGGTGCGGTGGTGGCCTTGCGCTGACGGTGCCCGGAAGGGCGCATGATGAAGGGGTTCCATGGTGGCGAGGAGATGTTAACTACCTCGCCTGGTATACAGGAGGTTGTGGGTTCGATCCCGACCCTGGTGCCTGCTGTATATTTGGAGATTGCGTGTCTCTGCCCGTGGTTGCGTGGATTTTTCTTCCGGTCCTCTGGTTTTTCCCTCCACATTTCTAAATGTGCATTGAGAGTATTTGGCTGCTATAAATTTCAGAATGATAAGCAACTTCGTTGAGCTATCATTTGTGGTCAGGTCGCTTCTGAAACATAGCTGTATAGCTCAGTGGGCCTTACCTGATCAAATAAAGAGAGTTTATTGTTTAATGGCAAAATAAAGAAGAAGAAAATACCCAACGAACGATCAGTGAAATCCGTAGTGTTGATGTTGTGCCCGGCTCCACGTCTCCGCTCATACACAGGCTGCGTGCGGAGCACCCCATGAAGGAGCGCAAGACGGTGGTGCGTGGGGGGCGGCTGCTCGGGCTGCTGATGCCGACGCGCGCGTTCGGCGACGTGAGGTTCAAGTGGAGCGTGGAGCTTCAGCGGCGCGTGCTGGACGAGACGGGCTACGCCGGGCGCCAGTATTTCTTCCCGCCCAACTACCACACGCCGCCGTACCTCACCGCCAAGCCCGAGATCACGCACCACAGGTGAGCGAGCTCAGTTGGAAGTCCATGTAAAGCGATCGCCATCCCCCTTCCTCTAAAGACTTGGCAGGACCCTCATGAAAAAGAGTCTTGAGACTCTTTCAAACAAAAAACTATTTTAAAAACGCCTTTTATTTTACCAGGAAAGGCCCCACTGAGCTGTAAAGTTTTTTTTCAAAAGCAACCTGGCCACAAATGACAGCTCAACGAAGTGGCTCATGTGGAAATGTATAGCAGCCACATACTCTAAACGCACGTTTCTAAATGTGGAGGGAAAAACCAGAGGACTCGGGAGAAAAATCCATGCGACCATAAGAAAAAGAGACATGCAAACTCCAAATATACAGGCATCAGGGTTGGGATCGAATCCATGACTTGCTGCATACCAGGTGAGGTAATTAACATTTCACCACCGTGGCGATAATAATGATGCTGTTGTTAGTCTGTAACTTTCCACTGTTGGGCAAAGGCCCTCTCCTATTTATTGCCACTCCTTTCATTCCCCAGTTGCTCCTGTCCAGACGTGACCTCCGAACTCTGTTATTTGTCTCCACTCCGCTGTTAGTTTCGTCTCTCAGCTCTCGTCATCTGCCCTCATTACGCGTGCTGCCCATTCCCATTCGATGTCTTTTGCCGCAAAAACAGCTTCTTCATCATCGGTGTGACGAAGCTGTTATTTTCATGATTTCTTCATGGACCCTAACCTCCCACCCCCCCCCCCCCCCCCCCCCCCAAACATGGAAAGACGGAGAAAAAGATGTGCAATCAGGATCCTGCAGCAAAAGCCTGGTAATAAAATGAGTGTATGTTAGCAGGTCACGTGGTGCCATGTCGTCACCTGTACAGAAGCTAAATATAAACAATACTACGGGGATGGTAACAAAACAACAATCGATGCTTAAATTGATTGTTGTTTGTCTTGAAATTGATTAATTAAGGGCTGTACCGCAAAATATTTATTTGGTTTAAAAACATTTACACTAATTTCATCGGACTCAACATGTTCATCAATAACACTGTGTGTCCTTGACAAAAATATATAATAGCTGACATTTCGTGCAATGGCCCATCTTAATTCATAAACAGAGAGGTGATAGAGATACAGTGGATACTAAGAGCTGGAGACTGCAACTAAATACCGTGGGACCTGATGAGAATAACATGTTTTAAATGTTTTCCCGATGACCAGTTTTTTAAATGGACATTTGAAAAGTTACGATAATTTTTCTTTTATTGCAATACCTTTGCAATCCAGAGGTCGTCTCCCCTATACCCATAGTCTAAAATAATTTTAATAACAATTAACTTCTTCATCCACTCTATTTGTCCATTTTCAAGAAGAGCATTTCTGGGCAGTGGCTGGGTGACTTTGAGGTCAGAGGTCAGAGCGCTAAGCCAGCACCACTGAGATCTTGGGTTCGAATACAGGTTTTAGCCACTGCCGGTGATCAAGCCGGGTTCTCACATTTAGAGAATGGATGGTTCTCAGCTCAATCACCAATGACCGCACGCCAAAAATTACATGTAGCTACATTTATAATTGGTAATTTGTATCTGTCTTTCCGTAAAGTAATTGATCATTACGTACAGTTGTTGAGTGGTTAATCTGTCTAGATCTTGAGTTAAAGCTTTCGTGACTGCAGGAATTCATATTCTTTGGGTCTTTCGGTAAAGCCACGTAGATAGAAAAAATAATACAATATCACGACGTTTCAATCGCAACACAAGCAATCGTCTTCAGGTGAAAAAAGAGGGGAAATCTGCCGAGGCAGGCTGTTTATAAAGGTTTAGAGATGGGCGGGGCAGCTGATGTTAATGTAGGAGAGGTCTCCGTAACCTGCAGTAGGTCTACACTAATCAATGAGCTGTTTACAGATGGTTTAGAGATTGGCGGGGCAGCTGATGCCAATGTGGGAGAGGTACTACAGAGCTGTGGGGGGTGGCTATTGTATTGTGAGAGATTAGCATGTCAATGTAAGGCAGTGCAGTGGACATATGGAGGTGGAAAATAATAGCAAGCCACCATTTACTAACCCAGCTAATGGTGGCTGTGTTAGTGAATGTAACTCAGAGAGTCGAGAATAACTGCTAACATAGGTAGGTAGGATAGGAACATCACAGCCAGTTATGACCTAAACTGGTTAATAACGTCCTTCCAATGATTGCTCAGTTTGTACCCATCTTCTCGGTTGAAATTGTGTCCGTGTTTATATATCTCGATGGCTTCATGAACGAATCTTTGTTGATAGCCAGTGGGTTTGCAGAGTACCTTCGTCTTGGCAAAATAAATTTCGTGTGTGCCCACAGCGTTAAAATAATGATCAGCCACGGCTGAGGTATTGGTCCTACCGTGTTTCAGATCTGCCTTATGTTCATTGCCCCTGTCCGAGACATATCGCTTAGTTTCCGCAATGTAACTGCTGCCGCAGACACAGCTTAGTTTGTAGACACCGGGGCATTGCATGTCGGGGATTGCATCCTCCACAGAAGGGATCAAATCACGAATTTTATGTATTGTGTTGAATCGTACCTGGATCTTGTGTTTGCTCACGATTTTGGAAATATTTTTGGTGACCCCTGCTATGTATGGCAAGGTGATGGTTTTGATTGGGTCCTCAGATGGTTCTCTCCCCACGGTTATGTCTAGATCACAATACACCAGTAAATTAGAATTTGATTATATTTTCCCCACATCTTCTCCTCACCCCTCCTTCACTTCATTCTCACTGTCACCTTGTTCCTACCCTCTCCCTCATCCCACCTCAACCCCGACCTTACCGTCACCTTGCCCCCCCACCACCGGCCGGCCCTGGTGGCGACGTGGCGGTGAGCAGGCTGCGCCCGCAGGACGAGTTTGTGGTGCTGGCCACGGACGGCCTGTGGGAGGTGATGCACCGCCAGGAGGTGGTGCGGCTCGTGGGCGAGCACCTGGACCGTGCACCATCGCGCCCCGCGCACCAGCCGTTGCCACGCGGACGCCCCCTCACGCTCGCCGACATGCTTGCCCTGCTGCAGGTACTGACGCGTGCACACGTACCGCAGCACGGGTACCGTCGTTACGCCTGCGAGTACGATGTCGCAAAATCGTCTTGTCCGTGTGGCAGTATACGCCGTGGTGTGATGTGGCCTGCAAGAAGATATCGTTTGCAAAAGACCTCGTTATCAATAAAGTTGTTTTACGACGATGATGATATTATTATAATGTGTCTCAGCTATACAAGGCATGTGGCCGTGCTGTGACAAACCCTGCCACTTGTGCGTCAGGCCTTTCAAACGAGGGCATGCTACATGGCTGGCTGGCTGTGACTCCGTTGTGACCCCAGTGTTCCTTGACCCCGGTGTTCCATGACACCCACGTTTGTGACTCTCATTGTCCATGAACCCAGCATTTCGTTCTCCCCCTCACCTGGTCCACAAATGTACAGGCCCGTAAGGCCGCCCTGGCCCCCACGGACGGCTGGGACCGCAACCCGGCGACGCTGCTGGTGCGGCACGCGGTGGGGCGTGGCGAGTGGGGTGGCGTGGAGCCCGACCGGCTGGCGCGCATGCTGGCACTGCCCGAGGACATGGCGCGCCTTCACCGTGACGACATCACGCTCACAGTGCTCCGCATGGACACGCACGCCGCCGCACGCTACCACCACCACGCCCGCGACGAGGCCGAGGATGACGACGAGGACGACGATCAGATGAGACGTGCTTAGGTAGGGTCCCTCTGTGGGCCGGCCACCTCGGCTGTTCCAGTGACGGTTAGGCGGTCACGGCCGCTCTGGGCGGGATGGTGCGGTCGAGAGATGGAGGCAAACGGTGACCTCGCAGGTGCGACTCAAAATAAAAAAAAGCGTTGTTCGAACTGTGGATTTGTACTCGTGCCACTGGTCCTGGGCTGTCTGACACGAGTTTGAAGCTGCATTCTGCTGCTCCTATAGTCTGACACCTCCTCCAGCCGTCCGTGCTGTCATCTTCCTGCCCCTGTTCCAAGTCCAGGTTAAAGAGCCTTTTTTACTCTGCCTATCACCGACAGCCTCTGTATAAACAACATATATACACACTGCTTCTGTACAGTGTTTTGATTTATAGACGAAACATAAATAATACACATTGTACATTTTATCTGTGAGAAATGAAGTCGCACAATTGTAATTTTAGCACTTTAGTGACATCACTCTGAAGTCCCTCCCATTTCAGCGCACCAATAAAACGACTTGCAGCACGACAATGCTGTTGCCTGACCGTAACTTTTGAAGACCTTTTTATCTTGGGAACAAAACGTCAAAACTGTGTCTGACAGCCCAGGATACGCAGCCTAGGTACGGCTCTACAATCTCCATTTATTATTTTACTGCGTCTTCCGCGATGATGCACACGCACACTCCGTTGGATGGTTGCACAAGTGGGTAACTGACCATTTCAGAACAAAGCCAGGAGCGGAGCTGGCGGCTGGTAGTAGTGGTGCAAAACGCAACCATGGGTGACCCAGCGATGGCAGCACTGCTACTGCCACCATGCACGGCCAACGTCGGTGCACATCGTTAAGGGAAACTAAACCCCCGTGCCGCACAGACCCGAAGAACGTTTATCGATGAACGACAAATGTTGCACTGAGCGCAACTGTCTGTAACGTCACTTTGCCTTTTAGAGGTGTTTTGGAGTTTGTGTTTGATATTTTAGCGAGTTTTGTGTATCGTAAGTGGCACCTTTAAAGCAAAAAGGGGATCGCAATGACGACTTCTGAAACGCTGCCGTTTAACACACAACAGTGTAACAATTGCTGGGATTTATCCAAATTAAACTTTTTTAAGCACGTGTTTTTCGGTAGTGGGTTTGCAGACTTTCGTTTGAAAATGTTTGCACAGCGTCAGTCTGAATGAAGATACAACGCAGAGGGATGCACGCCACGTCGCGTTCTGCGGTTATTCATATTTAAAGTGGCCGCACAAACTTTACTATGAAGGCAGTTTGAATTCTAATATTTATTTTTGTCATTTGGATGTGGATTTGTGTAAAGGTTGGCGATGCTTATAAAATGACGATGGACTGGTTTACTTGTCTGATGCATCCTCGTTTTTTCTGCATTTTATAAAGTAACTTTATTTTTACATGGATAATTGCGATCCGTGGTGCGTGAGCACAGCAGCAACAACAAATCAAAGATGAAAACATCAATAGTGCAGAAAATGACTACAAGAGTACTGAAGGAATATTGTACAGCGAACAAACGAGGTATTTAATGGTCGTAATTCGGAACACGCGAATAAACAATGCAAATGTAATATGAGAGCAAGAGCCACTAGAAAAGGCAGGTAAGAGGTGCAAGTACAGTGAGGGAAAAAAGTATTTGATCCCCTGCTGATTTTGTACGTTTGCCCACTGACAAATAAATGATCAGACTATAATTTTAATGGTAGGTTTATTTGAACATTGAGAGACAGAATAACAACAACAAAAATCCAGAAAAACGCATGTCAAAAATGTTATAAATTGATTTGCATTTTAATGAGGGAAATAAGTATTTGACCCCTCTGCAAAACATAACTTAGTACTCGGTGGCAAAACCCTTGTTGCCAATCACAGAGGTCAGACGTTTCTTGTAGTTGGCCACCAGGTTTGCACACATTTCAGGAGGGATTTTGTCCCACTCCTCTTTGCAGATTTTCTCCAAGACATTAAGGTTTCGAGGCTGACGTTTGGCAACTCGAACCTTCAGCTCCCTCCACAAATTTCTATTGGATTAAGGTCTGGAGACTGGCTAGGCCACTCCAGGACCTTAATGTGCTTATTCTTGAGCCACTCCTTTGTTGCCTTGGCCATGTGTTTTGGGTCATTTTCATGCTGGAATACCCATCCGCGACCCATTTTAAATGCCCTGGCTGAGGGAAGGAGGTTCTCACCCAAGATTTGACGGTACATGGCCCCGTCCATCGTCACTTTGATGCGGTGAAGTTGTCCTGTCCCCTTAGCAGAAAAACACCCCCAAAGCATAATGTTTCCACCTCCATGTTTGATGGTGGGGATGGTGTTCTTGGGGTCATAGGCAGCATTCCTCCTCCAAACACGGCGAGTTGAGTTGATGCCAAAGAGCTTCATTTTGGTCTCATTTGACCACAACACTTTCACCCAGTTGTCCTCTGAATCATTCAGATGTTAATTGGCAAACTTCAGACGGATATTTGTGTGCTTTCTTGAGCAGGGGGACCTTGCGGGCGCTGCAGGATTTCAGTCCTTCACGGCGTAGTGTGTTACCAATTGTTTTCTTGGTGACTATGGTCCCAGCTGCCTTGAGATCATTGACAAGATCCTCCCGTGTAGTTCTGGGCTGATTCCTCACCGTTCTCATGATCATTGCAACTCCACGAGGTGAGATCTTGCATGGAGCCCCAGGCCGAGGGAGATTGACAGTTCTTTTGTGTTTCTTCCATTTGCGAATAATCGCACCAACTTGTCACCTCACCAAGCTGCTTGGCAATGGCCTTGTAGCCCATTCCAGCCTTGTGTAGGTCTACAATCTTGTCCCTGACATCCTTGGAGAGCTCTTTGGTCTTGGCCATGGTGGAGAGTTTGAAATCTGATTGATTGATTTCTTCTGTGGAAAGGTGTCTTTTATACAGGTAACAAGCTGAGATTAGGAGCACTCCCTTTAAGAGTGTGCTCCTAATCTCAGCTCGTTACCTGTATAAAAGACACCTGGGAGCCAGAAATCTTTCTGATTGAGAGGGGGTCAAATACTTATTTCCCTCATTAAAATGCAAATCAATTTATAACATTTTTGACATGCGTTTTTCTGGATTTTTGTTGTTATTCTGTCTCTCACTGTTCAAATAAACCTACCATTAAATTATAGACTGATCATTTTTTTGTCAGTGGGCAAACGTACAAAATCGGCAGGGGATCAAATACTTTTTTCCCTCAGTGTATGTTCTGTGTTTTCATTTAATAGGGAAAATAAAGTGAACTGTGTGCACCCAACGATTTTGTGGATGGTATTTGGAACCGTTGAGTTTCTCTACGGCGGTAGATCTTCGTGTGGAGTTTGGGAAGGTCTGCGTCAGCAATACAATGGCTTGAGAATGCTGCACAGTATATTGAAGGAGAGTTAGGACTTACAATAAAAATTTTCACCCAAAAAAATCACGCGAATCTCTCGTTTTTGGCCAAAAATGCCAATTGTTTCAAACTTAATTTTTCAATAAACATGGAATTCTTACAATCGTTTTTATTCGGGTGGCATGGTGGCCCAATGGTAACAATCGTACCTCAGGAAATAGATGTTCATAGTTTGATTCCCAACTTGGGTGCCCTCCCGTGTGGAGTTTGTACGCCCCCTGTTCTGCATGGGTTTCCTCCCGAGTTTTACGGTTTTCTGCCACAGGTAAACAAAAAAAAACATGCAATGTAATTGGTATTGGCCAAACATCCCATTGCTGAAATAATTATCTGCCAATTCATCAATTGAGATGACACGCATAGCAGCATTGCCCCGCCTGACTGCGAACACTTGGCAGAGCCGTTCCTGGAAAAAAACCTCGAGACACCGGTGACGATTTCCAAGTGTAACGAGGTGGATTTTGTTTCACGAACGAGGTAGTCGTGTCTCGCCAGCTGTCGTGCTGAGAGAGTTCCCGGTGGAAGCACTTTTTTCCAGTTTCAACGAAGTTAGGCCACTGTGGAAAACACTTATTTGGCTCGTGCCATCCCAAATGCCTACATGGGGATGCCTTTATCATTGCCATGACTTAATTGAGAAAGTATAATTAATGGGGGGAGGTGGGGGGGTGCTGGCAACATCCAGGATGCTGACTCTAAAGCTACGCTCTCGGTGCTTTTTAACGGATGTGCAATGCGCGCAATCTAGTGTGTGGAGCGGCTCTTGTAGGATGCTGGCTCGGGCAAGCATCACGTGTGTGTGTCTGGAAAGGGTCGAGAATTGACCCAAGTTTTATCGTGCACATATGTAGCACTTGGGTGGAGAGGTGGCCATGTGTAATAGGCGTATGTCGTTATGTTCATGAAAATTCGTGTCACCCTGTGACTACGGGGAGGGGGTGGGGGCATTTCTCCAAAGGTGATTCTTAATTATAACTGTTGGTTGGCTGGGAAATTCGAGCTCTTATTAAACTTGAATGAAAATTTACATTTACTTGGCCTTCAATACTGCAACTTAATAGACATTGTAAAATTTGCATAGATGGTCTTGCAAATTAATAGGATTTTTTGTATCGCCATATGTACAGTGAGGGAAAAAAGTAATTGATCCCCTGCTGATTTTGTACGTTTGTCCACTGACAAAGAAATGATCAGTGTATAATATTAATGGTAGGTTTATTTGAACAGTGAGAGACAGAATAATATAAAAAATCCAGAAAAACGCATGTCAAAAATGTTATAAATTGATTTGCATTTTAATGAGGGAAATAAGTATTTGACCCCTCTGCAAAACATGACTGAGTACTCGGTGGCAAAACCCTTGTTGGCAATCACAGAGGTCAGACGTTTCTTATAGTTGGCCACCAGGTTTGCACACATCTCAGGATGAATTTTGTCCCACTCCTCTTTGCAGATCTTCTCCAAGTCATTAAGGTTGCGAGTCTGACGTTTGGCAACTCGAACCTTCAGCTCCCTCGACAGATTTTCTATGGGATTAAGGTCTGGAGACTGGCTAGGCCACCCTAGGACCTTAATGTGCTTCTTCTTGAGCCACTCCTTTGTTGCCTTGGCCGTGTGTTTTGAGTAATGGTCATGCTGGAATACCCATCCACGACCCATTTTCAATGCCCTGGCTGAGGGAAGGAGGTTCTCACCCAAGATTTGACGGTACATGGCCCCGTCCATCGTCCCTTTGATGCGGTGAAGTTGTCCTGTCTCCTTAGCAGAAAAACACCCCCAAAGCATAATGTTTCCACCTCCATGTTTGACGGTGGGGATGGTGTTCTTGGGGTCATAGGCAGCATTCCTCCTCCAAACACGGCGAGTTGAGTTGATACCAAAGAGCTCCATTTTGGTCTCATCTGACCACAACACTTTCACCCAGTTGTCCTCTAAATCATTCAGATGTTCATTGGCAAACTTCAGACGGGCATGTATATGTGCTTTCTTGAGCAGGGGGACCTTGCAGGCGCTGCATGAGTTCAGTCCTTCACGGCGTAGTGTTACAAATTGTTTTCTTGGTGACTATGGTCCCAGCTGCCTTGAGATCATTGACAAGATCCTCCGTGTAGTTCTGGGCTGATTCCTCACCGTTATCATGATCATTGCAACTCCACGAGGTGAGATCTTGCATGAAGTCCCAGGTCGAGGGAGATTGACAGTTCTTTTGTTTCTTCCATTTGCGAATAATCGCACCAACTGTTGTCACCTTCTCACCAAGCTGCTTGGCAATGGTCTTGTAGCCCATTCCAGCCTTATGTAGGTCTACAATCTTGTCCCTGATATCCTTGGAGAGCTCTTTGGCCTTGGCCATGGTGGAGAGTTTGGAATCTGATTGATTGCTTCTGTGGACAGGTGTCTTTTATACAGGTAACAAGCTACGATTAGGAGCACTCCCTTTAAGAGTGTGCTCCTAATATCAGCTCGTTACCTGTATAAAAGACACCTGGGAGCCAGAAATCTTTCTGATTGAGAAGGGGTCAAATACTTATTTCCCTCATTAAAATGCAAATCAATTTATAACATTTTTGACATGCGTTTTTCTGGATTTTCTTGTTGTTATTCCGTCTCTCACTGTTCAAATAAACCTACCATTAAAATTATAGACTGATCATTTCTTTGTCTGTGGGCAAACGTACAAAATCAGCAGGGGATCAAATACTGTTTTCCCTCACTGTACATCATACCTGTAAACCCCTTATCAGTGCCGACCTTATTGCAGACCAATTCAGACCTTATTGGTCACTCCGTGCCCTCAACGTTCATCTTTCAAAGTCCCATCACAAGGGAAAAACACAAACAAATAAAATTTAAAAAATTGCCCGTTTTGAAACGGCACTTCTATAAACTTATTTTCATTAGTTTACAATTAAGATTTAAAATTAATTAACGACATGCACCCGCGATTCCTAATGTGAGTGACAAAGCGAACCTATGCCCCCCCCCCCCAAATATAGAAGTCAAACTCCGCCTATGTTCTTGCCTCACCTAATCTCGCTTCGCTCAACTTTTCCTCTGACCCATCCCGTCCTCACCGCTCCCAATCTCGAGTGTCCACTGCTCTGCCTTCCCTCACCTTGCGCCCAGTCTCGCTCGTTCCTGTTCCCTTCTCGTTCCCCATTCACTGAACAAACTCCCACTGCAGCACAGAAAACAATCATCTTCACTATAACCCATCTCGTCTCCCGAGCCCATTTTGCTACTACTTTACCCCCTGCCGCCCAGCTCCGATCAGCCCTACCCCTATCACTACCCATATCGATACCCCCTGATGCAGTGGCGTAACTACATTATCAGCTCAGGGGGTGCAGCAGTCGGTCGCACATTCGCACATCGGCTATTATAAACCGTGGCTCCGCTTGTCTCATCGCATTATTTCGCTCACGGTCTCAAACATTTAATGCTGTAGGGGTGCTCCGTTTTCGCAAAAATGCAGCCACTACAGCTCCCTATAGTACCTCTTTGCAATATTACGAAACTGCTTTAATGAAATTAAAATGAAACGTGGAACCGAAATATAAGGCATTCTCATTAAAACAATAATTTGAAACCGCGTTTTAAATAAGTGTGTTCTTTTACACTATTGTTGAAAACATATCTCAATAGCCTTTTGCCCGCCCAAGGACGGGTGTATTGCAGTAAATCTGATAAGCACAGACCGCGACGTGATAATCATTGCATTAATTCGTGTGCAATTCGTAAGGGCGCGGTGACACAGATTTATTTCATTTTTAAGGGTACAATCCCTTGTTCATCATGACGTCCTTTTTACTTTGATGTCTCAACAGCGTTACGGAGATCACGTGACGTGAGGGTTCTGCCTTTGTAGTGAGGGTTGGAAGTTGACACCGAGGAGGGGGGAGGAGGCGCCTCGCCCCCCCATGTGGAGTGACTTCACCTGCTAATTATTATTGAGGGGATGTCCACTTGGAGGACGTCACCTTATGATTATTAATGACGGGGGCTGTTCGATGTGGAGTGACGTCACCTGCTCAGGATTATTAGAGGGGGGGTCCATGTGAAGGACGTCACCTGTTCATGATTATTAATGAGGGAGGCTGGCTGACGTGGAGTGACGTCATGCGCGGGACACAGACATTATTGGCTCATGATAGTAGTAAATGGTGGTTGTCAAGAAAGTCCCCATCTCGTAGCTTTCGCCGCTAGCGGGGAGCCAAGGCACCCCCTGCCCCCACGCTCGTTACGCCATCGCCCTGGCTGGTCCTCTCTGCCGCCGCCCACCAGCTCGACCCCAACCTCTCCCGAACCGCATTCCCCTGCCTCTCCCAACTATCAGGATCACTCCACCACTTTTAATAAGTCTGCACTCTTTATCTCAACCACTTTGCATATGTACATTTTAAAAGAATTGATGCAAAGCACCTTGGAAAAAAGGAACGATACAAATCTAGATACGACAGTCTACATTCTTGGTTGTGTTTGTTTTAGCCGGGCCAGGGAATGGGAGGTCCGGCGCACGAGCATGGCCGAGTCTGGGTAGTCCGGGGCACTTGTGGCCAACCAGGCAGCCACCTCCCCCTGGAGCTTGGCCACCATATGAACCTGGGCGACTCCAGGCAGTTTATAGACCGTAACAGGGGTGCACGATACTCATGGCACGCACACTCGTCAAATACACACGGACAAAGCTGGCTGGAAGCTGACTGCCTATCTGTAAGGGTGCAGAGACCATAGGTAGGGTTTGAGGGGAGTCAGACTGCATTGTACATTGCACAAGCGTGATTGTGAAGGTGTGGCAGAATGCATGCTTAACATTTAGAATTTTTCATTTGTTCAATTAACGTATTTTTAGGTCACATTGTTGAAATGCCATTTAAATATTAAATGTCTTCATAATACAGGTTTTTTTTGTATACATTTTCTATAGTATGTTAAAGTCGTCATTTTCGATTTCCTTAACCCATTAAAAAATCATATCTCTATTGGTCAATACCAACGTTCATCCAAGTGTTTTTGTTAAACGCATATTTAAGGCGTGCCATGCAGACCACTAAAATGTTGCACGTCCTGAAACTGACGCTATAATGCATGCGATTCAAGCCCCGTCGCATTCTGCGTGTTCACATTTGTTGTTGAAAACGGTCTACATTTTATTTGGGTGTGGATTCGTGTTAATGTTGACGATGCTTATTCCCGTTAACTTTTTGCACCCAACAATTCAGGATATGGTGTACTTAAGACTTATTGGTTTCTGGAGGTGCTGGAGCAAAGGTCTGGTGTGCAGAAGTTCCAATCTCCACGAAAGCAGTCTAAGAGGAACAACTTTCGAAGAATGTGTTTATTTGAAACCATCTCTTTACAAACTTTAAACATTTTGAAAAAAATTACCAGCGATTACAGTGTAGGATTCCTGACAAAATAACACAAAACATAGCAAACAAAAGGCTTGAGAGCTCACAGAGCCACACACCCCCAACTTTATACAAGATTATTTTTTAAACAAAGCAGATGGCGATAATTACTGGAACAGCCACCAATGACAGGAGGTATCACTGAAATATTTACCGAAAATGCTTAAAAAAACATTAATTCAAAAAGCTACAAAGTTAAACCATTCAAACACCAAATTGCGTGGAACTTTCACACCAAGGCAAGCACCGTTGGTGACTTGGCCTACGTCTGTATGTTATGTAATTATTATTATTTTCGGTTCTAAAAGTCAGGAATACCACAGCTGCTATTGGAGGGTTGTAAGTACAAGCCAACGAGGTCACCGCCCCGGGGCCCCACGCGGCTCCCTGTGTGGAATGTCTCTCTCCTCCAGGGCGTTGTCGCCATTTCTCGATGCCTGCCCCCCCTCAAATGCCTTGAGAGCTGCATACGCAAGCGGACACAGGGAGACGGCGGCAGTCAAGCAGAGCAGAAGTCCGCGCGTACATTCAAGACGCGCCGGAGCTACAAATGGTCAATCTCTATCTCCGGTGTAAAAATAGCATGGGCTGTGGTTTGTTGACGCTGCAGTTTCGTTTGAGAGCACCGCTGTGGAGAGAGGGGAGGGGACAAAGGGGAGGCAGGTGTGGCGCAGTCACCTCCTGACGGGAAACAGCAGCTGAGTTGCCATGGTCGAGTCCGGGAAGAGGTTGTGGTAAGTTGGCACTGGCACAAAGGCCGCGGTGATCATTTTCCCTGCAAGGCAACGAGTGGGCCCACATGCAGGTGGAATGAGTCAACAACCACTCCAGGAAAAATAACAAATGGCTGGAAATGTTTGGATTGGTTGATTGAAACGGGTTCTTATTGCTCACCGTGCGTGTGTTGCATTGTGAACCTAAGGCTAAATTAAACAAAAAGAGCATTTGGTAATTCATCCATCCACAGTGGATAATTGGTGACATGCCTCCAACCACCATGAACACAAAGCAGTGGCAACGCGATTGTGTCACTTTGCAGAGAAATGCAGGTTATCTGAGCTGCAGGACAGTCCGATTCAGAATATTTATACTGGAGGAATCCGATGAGCCATAAAGCTATTTTTCACAAATATCCAGTAGTTTCACCGATATCCAATAGATTAGGAACTGTACAAATATTACCGTAACGAAGCACATCGATTCGCGAAGGTCAAGACTACTTTTCATAAGGGCCTTGTGTTTTGGTTTGTAAAACCAATGCTTTTTTTAATCGGTATTTTGTTTAGCGTGAGGGGAAACCAGAATACGCACAAATAATCCAACTAACCACTGCTGCAAAAGCAGTACATTCTCAGGTGCCCACCACCACATACGCCTCCATTATCATGAGTGTGGGGGTCACAGGGTGCTAACACAAGGCAGGACTCACCAGCGAACCACCGTCCGTGCAGGGCGTTGACGGTGGCGATGGCGGACGCGACTGATGAACACTTCACGTACACGTTACCCTGCGCACATGTCATGGCCGGAGAAGCATCAGCATTAGAGCCGCCGGGGACAACTAAGCTGACCACCAACGCGACGGTGCACCATGCACTACCCTCCCGCCAGCAAATGGACTTGATTCCCTCTCTCTTTTACAGGTGTGTTGCTTCAGTCACTCGCACACTTTTGTTCAAAGTACAGTCATACCTCGGTATACGACCGTCATGTTTTGACGAGAAAAAAAATGTTTTGGGATACGTCTTGCTTGGGATACGACGCGCTTGCTAGAACTTGTATGGGTCGGGATGAGTCACCGCGTACATTACCCGCGTACACCCCGTTCACGACTGAAACAAAGCGCCGCTCCTCAGTCTGCCTGTAGATCTCGTTCAGTGGACGACCCTTGCTATAAATCTCTGAATTTTCACGTGTTTTTTGTCATTTTAACTCCTCTCAGCAAGGTCAAGTGATGTTAAATTTTATTTTTATTTCAATTTATTTTAATTTATGTATGCATTTATCTTAATTTATGTATGCATTTTAGTAATAAGTAGTGTCTACATTATATTATACAACCCCATAAAATGTATAATATGCCATATAAAATATAATTTCTTATACTCTGGAACGGATTATTCCCTTTCCCTTTATTTCTTATGGGAAAAATTCGTTTGGTATTTACGTCACTTTCGGTATAAGTCCTCCTACCTTCTGGAACTGAATTAACGACGTATACCGAGGTACCACTGTAATTATACAATCCAACCCGTTCTCTGTCTCCCTCTACTTTTATTTTTGTGTACTCGAGTATAGATTCCGAGCTGTACACAACCACACTCAACGGTAATGCTTCATAGTGATGATGTTGATGTATGCCAAACCAATTCAGCTGCCGGCTTACAGCAAACCACGCCACGCTTACCTGGGGGGAGTTCTTATCAACGAAGATGTGCACTAGGCCACCGTGCTTCATGCACTCCGTGATGACGTCATCGCGGATGTCCTGATCCCAGGTGTGCGACTGTTCGCTGTTGTACAAACACACACACGCGAGGTCTCACTCCTCCCATCTATTTCATGGAAGATATATTCTCTAGTAGTGGTTCTCAACTTTGTTTGGCTACTGTACCTCTTGTTGAATTTTATTTCAACCAAGTACCCCCCCCCACCCTTGCCTGACCCAACATGGTTCTGAGAAATAAATGTATGAAGAATGAACATTTGAACCAATTGTCCATTTTGTGAGGTATATCCTAATTAGCTGGTAACTGAAAGCGAATAAAAACAAATTCAACAAATGCACTACATGCAAGACGTAGTTTGTTTGCACTAATTGGTAACTCTTGTAAACCACACTGTTTACGAGTTTAGAAAGGTCTTTTATATCGTTCTAGGTTACCATATGAATAAAACAATTATTGCAGTTATTTTATTGTCTGATTCATGCATGATTATTCACGAATGACCCATGTATGATATAATTTCACACCTTTATAAATCACCTCGCATACCTCCTGGGGACATTGCTACGTACCCCCACGGGTCTGCGTACCCCCAGTTGAGAACCACTGCTCTAGTACAAAGTGTTGGGGGGGGGGGGGGTCACTAAAAGGTTACCCTCACCTCTCTGGAGAGAACATGTTCGACAGCTGGATACACTGTGTGGCAATGGAAGGCGGCGCAGCGTTATTCAGCACTGTGAAATAGACAAGGGCACCGAGTCACAATGTGCGTGTTCGTCCGTCAAAATCTCAAAGGTAATCAATACTGCCTTAAGATGGGAGTCCTATAAACAGATGGCAAAACTTACCTGGCATCACGGGGTTTGTGGTGCCCAGACCAAAGCCCCCAGTCATCTGCAGCGCTTGCTGGGCCGCCAGTGGAATCTGCAGCCCCGTGCCTGCATCAAAGAGTGAGATAGAAACTCAAACGAGCACCACGTGTGTCTGCCTCTTCCCCGGGACCCTTGACCACGGCGACAAAACTGTGAAGGGAGGGGGCGAGAGAAGAGCGCTTGCGTACCCTCGGCCAGTTTGGCCATGAGGTGCAGGCGTCCTGTGCTGCCCAGGTCGATGCCCGTGCGCTCCAGCTCGTCGTTATCGAGGAATGAGCTGGCGCCCGAGCCGTCTGAACGCTCCGTGACGTGGCCAACCTTCATGGGTCGCCCCGCCAGCTCGAAACCGTTGAGCTGCTCCAGGGCCTTGCGTGCGCACTCCGCGTCCGCAAACTGGCACAAGCGCAGAAAACGAAGAATAAAGTTCCAGAACGGACAGGATGGAGGGGGAGCTTTGGCCAAGGGACCGGCAAACAGCCAGAGAAATAATGAAACCCTTGCAATTTGGCACAAAGCAGAACATTTTAAAAAATCGATTTGGGAATATAGATTGGTTAAACAGCTGAATGCAAAATTCACAGCACTGCCTGATGTTACACAGCATTCGGAAAGGCAATGCCCCTCACGTAACGCATACAAGTTCCGCACATCCACACAGACCAACGATCCCCTCCTCTTCAGTGCGTGCTCACCGTGACAAAGCCGTAGCCCCTAGACCGGCCCGTGTCGCTGTCCATCATCAGCTGGCAGTTCTCGATCTGCATACAAGAGCACAGAGTATGCGTTCGAGTTAAGGAATAGCATGCCAAAGTGGACACCACAGAGCTCCGTTAAAATTCCATTCAAGTGAACTATGGTCACAACACAGCACTTTCCCATCCATGCTACCACCAAGAGTATTGTTTTGTCTCATTCCAGAACGGCTGCTGCACCTTGCCGAAGGGCTCGAAGATGCCCTTGAGCATGTCCTCGGTGATGTTGAAGTGTAGTGAGCCCACGTAGAGACGCATTGGCCCGGCGGTACTCTTCTGCATTGTTGCTGCAGCAGCCGCCGCTGCAGCAGCTCTGTTCTTCTCAGCCTGCAGAGTCAAGATGGCACGTGCGTTGAGGCCAACCCACCATCAATCAGTGATCACACCACCACCCATTGATGCCAAGCAAACACTGCATGAATATAGCCAAATACTGTAGATAAAATGCTATTAGGCGTCTCACAAGAAGGGCTTAATTTCTCACAATATTTCTAGCGCGCCATCACCACCACCACTGCCACCGGTGGTGATGAGGGGAGGGTGTGGTAAAGGTTATGAGGAACAGGCTGACTTAGGAAGTGTGGCAAAAGGGTGTAGGCTGACCTGGGAGGCCTGGACGATGATGGGCACACCAAGGAGACGCTGACCCGTCAGCCCAATGGCCAGAGACACCGAGTCCACTTCCACAAACTCGATGTAGGCGATGCCCTTGGAGCGCCGGGAATTCCGATCCGAGATCATGCGCACGTCGCGCACCTGTCGAAGGGAAAGTCACGATTCCTCGTCACATGCTGGCCAGAACTGGCAGTCTGCGGTGCGAGCATTGTTGGTGCGCAGAGCAACTGTCGTGCATGTCAAGGGGGCTGAACTTCTTTCACACCGTACGGAGCCAACCCTGCTAATGGGAAGTGCATCAAATAGCTTACCAAATACAAATTACATTCAGAAACGATCCAGAGTAAATTAGTAAGGTTCATCATAAACAAAATGTGCCAATTAGTTACTACTTCAGCACACTGGTGTGTTGAATAGTACAATTTGAGTGAGAGGTTTTGCTGGTCATTACAACTAGCCTCATGAGGCAATCGCCAGAATTGTGAAGTCCTCCTGTTTCGGTCTTAAATAGAGGGGTAAAGGTGATGTCATCACTCTGGGCCTATCAGGTGCGAAGACCGGGGAGGTAATGTAGTCATATAAGTTATAATGGATCATGTTAATCTGAGAAAACGCAGTACCTATTATTATTAAACTAATCTGCTGCTTTTCACTGTCGAGTAGGAAAAATGTGCTGGGGGACACTGGCAGAATTCACGCAGTGCGGGCACGAGCCCGGGAGTCCTCCATGCCACCCTCACCTTGCCCACGGCGGAGAAGAACTCCTCAAGGTCGCGGGGTCGGATTCGTGCTGCCAGCTGCATGCAGAACACTGTGCGTGCATCGCGTTCCTCGGGAGTCAGGTTATCGATGGGGGCCCTGAAGACGCGCATGCACATGAATGCACGAGCGCGCGCACACACAGTCGACAAACAGGCGTGGCATTATGATGACGCTGTCACACCCTCACTAATCAAACTCCTCTTGCCTAAACCGTGCATGTTGAGGGGCATGAAATCACTCCTCTGCATGACTACAGCGAGGCTCGAGTGCTTATACATTTTTCCCCATACTCATTCTATTACAAATATGTTACGAGCCAAATACATTTTAAACCCATAACTTTTATATAAAGCAATGTAATATGATCCTGCTTAAGAAAATTACCACTGAAAATGTATGTCAGAGGACTACTTGATGTACCTGCCCTTCAACAATATGATGCACCTTCCCATGCGTCTTGCTAGAAGCTGTCGTTGAGAAACTAAAGATGTTTTTAAGGACAATATTTGACACGTCACCTATTATATATTTTTCCTTTTAAGGCAGTGTTATGAATTAATGTGTTGATTTTTTGTATATATTTTTGTTGTTTGTGCATCGTTGCCAATGCAGCAGCATCACCAAATAAAGTTTATAGATGTTTTAGTCCTCGGCGGTTACAAAAGTTGAATTAGATGAAAATGTGGGGGTTTACGTGCAATCTTTAGCATCACCGCTGAGACCAATAATGCACTCCACTTGAGAACTCAGTTTAATCGCAAGCAGCTTTATGGCTAACCATCGAACAAAGACAGTAACTGCATCGCACGCTTTCAGATGCGTTTCTTCGGCCGTCTAGAATGCTCTTCCTTCCGATATTAGGAAGCAATTGCAGCTATGCACTTGAAATTCATGCGAACCGAAAACAAATTTCTTGAGAACTAATTTTTTTGTTGGGCGCATATGGTGCTAAAGAAGTTCAACATACATAAGGCTGAATCACCAAAATTGCACCCAAGCTCTGAGGGTTTTTCTACAGGTCCTCTAGTTTTTCCCTCCTGTTTTCTTTTAATATTGGACAGTATAAAACGTTATGTTCAATACAAGTTATCTTTTTACTTAAAACTTTCGTGACTGCAGGAATTCATATTCTTTGGTTCTTTTGGTAAAATCGCGTAGACAGAAAAATAATAAAAATAAATTGAATAAAAAATACAAATAAAAACAATAAAAAACATGAATGTACTCTGTAGCCTGGTTCTTAATCGGAGTGAACTGGCAGTCTATAATGTAGACTGTAGTAATGGTTATTAAGCTGGGTGAGTGTACTTGCAGTCTATAATGTAGACTGTCGCCAGGTTTTTAAGCTTGGTGAGCATATTGGCATTCTATAATGTAGACTGTAGCAATCATTATTAAACCGAGTGAGCGTACTGGCAGTCTATCATGTAGACTAAGAACCAGGTTAAGAACCAGGCTACAGTCTACATTACAGACTGCCAGTACACTCACTTAGCTTTATAACCATTACTAGAGTCTGCATTAATGTTTTATTTTATTTTTACAATATGAATGGAAAGTTATTAAAGTGTTTATAGTATGAGACGGTAGGTTACGAAGGCTGGAAACACACCCTCAGTACTGTTATTTCAATCAATGAAGTTTCACCATACGATCGAACCTCCAGGAACGCATATACTTCGTAAATCGAGGTATTACTGTACTCTAGAAATGGGCAGGTACTTTGGGTGGTTGTGGGCCAGAGGCATGCCGTGCCCACCCCACTGTTAAAAAGTGTAACTCTTGGTCAGGATGGCGCTTTTTATGAATTATTGGGGGGGTGGGGGGGGGGGTTTCGCGGCACGTCACGAGACAGCCGACGGTTTGCGGTACTCCACCTAGTAGGGTGTGGGGGCCGGTCCTCATGGGTCGCTGCATGGCCCACGGCAGCAGTGTTAGACCTAGCGCATGTGGGTTAGAGACAAGTGCACACAGACGCGGCGGCAGCCGTCAGTGGCTCTCCACACAAGAGGAGGCCTTCCGCGCACATACACACGCACGGGCAACAGAGTGGGGGGACACGGGCAGAGGGAATACTGGTATGCAGATATGCCAGGGAGACACAGGCAGAGGGTAATGGGAAATAGGCGACAAGGCAGAGGACAGGGATGGTGCAAGAGCAGACCCACGTCCCTACTCCACTTACCTGATGGGGCTCTTCCTCCGTGGGCTTTTACTCTTGCTGCGGCCACTGCGGCGGCTTGGGGAGGGTTAAAACAGTATTGATATGCGGACACACAACAGACACAAAGCGACGATTAGCAACTCGGTCAGGAGAATCAATATGAATAGCATTCGTCATCATTTTGGGTGGCAGGGTGGCGCAATTGTAACACTTGTGCCTCACAGCAAGAAGTGTATTGGTTCGATAGCCGACCCGGGCACCTTTCTGTGTGGAGTTTGTATGTTCTCTCTTGGTTTGCATGGGTTTCCTCCGGGTTCTCTGGTTTCCTCCCATAGCTAAAAAATACATACAATGTAACTGGTATTGGCCCAACATCCAAATGGTAAAAAAATTACCTGCGAATTGCTCAATTTAAGGATTACACATCACAACGTCACCCCCCTACTGCGAAAACTTAGTAGGACCCTCCGGAGAGCCTGCTCAATGGGTCTCTCCTGGGTAAGCGAGCGTAATTAATAACATTAACATTTATAAGCTATAAATTGGCTAAACTTGACATTCATGGCCCATTCATAATGGCCTTTTGTTAAAAAACAAATGTCAACTGCGGGGATATCCCCACCATCCCTGAATTTTGCACAGGATTAAGGATAACATTGCACAATAAAAATGTGCTTGTGGGTTGCTTACAGACGCAGACTTTATCATGAATCGCATGCCGCATCCTACATCTGTTTTCAGACACGCTGCGCACCAGAGCGCAATGTGTTGCGGTGGGAGGGGAGGTGCGGCGGAGTGGGAGAACGTACAAACTGGGGCTCCTGAATTTGCCGCGGTCCCCACTGCCGCCCCCGTGCCGGTGGCCCCGGCTCCGGGAGCGGCTTCGCCGCCGCCCGTGACTCCGGCTTCGCCCCTCGCGACTCCGGCCGGGTTTACCATCGCGCCGGTCGCGACTGCGACTACGGCGCTTGTCTCGGCTCCTGCTGAAATGAGACGGAGACGCATGCACACACACTCACGTGTCTATGTCAGGTGTTCCCCGCGACCTGAGCAGCTGAGAGTTGTTTAGTTTTGATCACCATGGTTGTGAAGCAAAGGCAATATTGAAGGTGTAATATGAGTTAATACGTTTCTTGAAATTGAGCGCGGTTTAGCAGCGGATCCAAGCTAATTGGGAGGGGATGTTGGGGGAAATTGCAGCTCCAGTAAACAGCCCAAAAAAAATTACATTTACCAGAGAATGTAATATTTATAAACCTTGAAATTTCATAGCTGCCCTCCTCCCTTGGAGAAATTCATATATGCGCCTCTGGTACGATTGTAAGAACGTGGGAAAAGAGAATGGGAGGCAATTCCAAATCAAGCAGTGCGAGGTAAGAAGCAAAATTGCCTGGGTTGATCAATGTTTGATCAAGCTGTTCACGTAACACGATCAAAAATAACTGCATTTTTGAATCGTTGTTAACGCTCGATTAGCCATGGGTTGCAGATTGACGAAGGGGCTGTAAATTATCCATTATATTTATTTAACAACGATCTACCTCCTCTTTCGCTCTCTGCTTCTGCTGCGGCTCCGCTTTCTGAAAACAGAAAAGAGAGCCGCAAGGAATGACAATGAAAACGCTCTATTCCTCATCGAAGTAACGTATTAAATTCAGTCAGTGAAATGTTTAAAGGGCACACACACACATACCACAGCAATTGTAAAATATAAAAATGAGATCTCTGATTGTGTACTGAACAATGTGAAATTGTAGCAATGTAGTGTGTTTCAAAGTTTAAAATGCTGGGTCTTAATCAGTGTAAGCATTTGTAGCCACACATCACATAACAGAGGCATTGTACCCGGACAACCCCTAGACCACATACCTTTTTCTTGGGGAACGGTAATCAAGGGAAAGCCATTACATCATTTAGCGACACCTAATTACAACGAACATTGGTTATCAAGAGGCCAGATGTACACACTTTATAAAAAACAAACATCTATGTTTTTTTAAAGCCGTGTTTAACATGTATACTTTTTAGATATTTTAACAAACACACCAAATGTGCTCACTAAGTCTCGCAAGACAAAATCTTAGCAAGAAAGAAGCATATAGCGCAACATCTCAGTGTAAAAAGAGGTAGGAACTCACTTTTTGGATTTTTCTCCAGAAGAGTGAATGGCAGAGGAGCTCTTTTTCTCTTCCTATGCAGGTCGACATAACAGCGGCATAACGTTGCGTTCACATCAATCAACAGGGACGGGGTAACACGCAGTGAGAGCACAAAGAGGGGGGACATGTATGGTCAGTGTCACGAAGAACTGTACTGCGGTGCATTTACGCACGCCGAGGTAGCTGAAGGGCACATCGCTAGCCGCCACAGCCGCAACCTTGTCCGCCGCGCTTACATTCTGCCGAGACAAACAGTAATGCAATAGCGGACACGGGTGGGCACAACGATGAGCCGAAATCATGCACAGGGGACTGGCCCCCCCCGAGGGTGACAGTTAAAATAAAATCGATATCTTTATGGGAACTTAAAAAACAGGGCCAGTTTGTCCAAAAATGTGCTGGTGAAATTTAAATAAAAATTTACGCGGCAATTCGGCTTTTCAATTACACAATTTAAATGTCGTTTAACGAGCATCGTAGCACTAAATGAGCCACGTACGGTACCGTACAATTATTCCACATTCCACACACACACCCACACTTCAAGTGATGTTCCAAACTTGAGGTCAAAGAAACTTCCATTTTCTGCAATCTACTCACCTGGAAACCCGAAACAAAAGGGGGCACATTAAGAATTGCAGTTCCGATAAGACCCTCCAGCTATTTCTTGAACTTACATTAGCACCCTGCAAAATTCACAACTTTCTTTTACACGTCTCACGCATTTCAGGACATTTTAAAAAAATCAAATGTAAAAGCCGAAAAGTCTACCATACAGATGTGTAACAGGGGGAAGTTCTAAATCCGTTCATAAGTAATGCGCATGAAAACTGCAATTGTGCATATCAAAAGTATTTGTTTGAGGGCACATACCTTGGCAATGGCAGGTCAAATCCTGCACAATAACCATTCCAGTCTTGTACCGCTTAGCGTAACTCTGGGATGGCTTAGGCATCTAGGAAGAGTGAATTGCTTCATTTGGTTGCTCTCAATCAACATCGATATTGGAATGAAAGAACATTTAACAATAACATAACTGCACTTTAAAGTTTAGACCCTAAACACAAAACCATTAACGAGGACCACTGCCTTCTACTGCCTCTGTTAGGACAACAGCAGCCAATAGGAAGCCAGTGATGCCTGAAGGTGGCATGCAGCGAACTGACTCAACAGCACGTTCTAGTCCTTAATAGTTTACACTCAGTGTGTTAGAACATGGCACCGCAGAAACACCCACCTCCTTCATAAACGGTGCCTCTAGCATAGCTTCTATATCCCAGTCGTCAGCCATGGCGACTTGGCAAGTGCGTGGCTGCTGCTGCAGAACAAAAAAAACAGTAATTTACACGAGTGGCACATCATGACGCTATAACACCTGTAACATGCAACTGCTAAACTATACCTTTTGTATCCATGTCTATCGTTTACCTTGTCTCCATCTCTCTCAAAGCTGGTGCCTGTTAATTGCGTTTCCACGTCACTAATCTGCATCTTTCTGTTACTGCGAGCCATACATCTTTGTGGGCCATGAGTATGGACGAGATACTCTTTGGTTTTATTCGGTAAAGTCACGTAGGTAAAAAATCAAATAACAAAAATCACGACGTTTCGGCCACAACACAAGTGGCCTTCATCAGGTGTCCTCATGACAGCAGGGACCGTGCTGTCATGAGGACAGCGTTGTCCTCATGACAGCACGGTCCCTTCACCTGATGAAGGCCACTTGTGTTGTGGCCGAAACGTCGTGATTTTTGTTATTTGATTTTTTACCTACGTGACTTTACCGAATAGAACCAAAGAGTATGGATCCTTGCAGTCACGAAAGCTTCAAATCTAGAATGTATGGACGAGATGTTTACCATGGGTGACTAGTGGAATAACAAATGCATGTCAAAGTACTAAAATGTAGAAATACCTCTTTCTCCAAGCACCAACATTTTATAAAACGCTTTCTGGTGGGGAGTCAAAGCGTTTTGAAAATGCTCATATTGAACAGTCCTGAGCTGTCAATATTAAAAGGTGCTGCATGAAAAAAGTAAAGTGTATATTATGGCCCCGAGGCCTTTTTTTCCAAACTTACTCAATGAGAAAAATCTCCGATCGCAATGAGTTTGCCCTCGTGTATTTGCTGTGGAGACAAAAACAGAGCACAGTGTTATGGCATGACCAGGAAGCATGTTTGACAAATGGATTATACGCTTATGCATCAACTACCACTACTTGTGCAAAATGACTGCTACCATTTTAAACTGAACAGTTTGTACTTATATTCTTTGAGTCTTTCGGTAAAGTTATTTTCTTTTAACCTATCTACGTGACTTTACCGAAAGACCCAAAGAATATTAATTCCTGCAGTCACCAAAGCTTTAAGTTGTACTTATTTAAAATTAGCTTCTTATTTAGAAAGCCCCTGTCTCAATGGCCTTTTGGTTTTTATTTGGGTCTATAGTACTACTATTAATGTAGTACGTCACGATAGACTTAGGTGCTAATAACCTTGATTTGAAGCTTTCGTGACTGCAGTAATCCATACTCTTTGGTTCTTTCGGTAAAGTCATGACTTGAGTTAGGTGCTACTCTTTATACTTTTTAGAACTGTATTTAAGGTTCATGTGTCAAAAACAAATTGTTCATACACTAGACTAAATAAAAAGAGGTGAATACATCACTTTATTCCGTCCCTGATAATGGCTCGACGTTTTGACTGGATGGCCTACTTCAGAATGAGTACACTTAAATCTATATTAACACAATACATTACTGTATTATTATTAAATTCGGTATAACGCTGGCAAGTACGAGCGAGGTCTTCATAGTTGCATTGGAACAATTCCCTTGTTAGGAAATGTAACTTGAAAATGACTGTAGACGAAGCAAAACCCTTTAGCTTACATGCCAAAGTGAACGTAACTGAACAATACCAATAATATAAAATACAGCAGTACACGTGAAAATACCCCCGCAAATTGTACCTCCATTTAAATGGTAATCTGAAGCGAAGTAGAAAATAACCAAATATCCATAAACTGCCGATTTAATATATAGAAGCTCAAGTGCGCCACAGTTTAATGTGAGGAAACTAATCGTGTTTAGTTTAGGTTTATTTAAATGGGATACTATGTCCCTCAGGGCAAATGAAAGAGGTTAACTATATTCAAATACGTCAACTCCAAACAACCCCGGTTAAAATGTCGCTTGGTTTGCATTTAAATATGAAACCAAGATTAAAAGTAAAAGATTACGAAAAGCAACAATTGATCAATGCAATATTTACACACGAACGTCAGAGAAACCTCATGCAAAGCCACGTTTCGAATATAACTCGATTGGTGTTTTTTTAAGGCCACTGACCCCAAGCCTCACACGCGTTCGCAGAAATACAAACTCCTTCCAACAAATTAAAAACACCCAAACCAATAACACCACCACGAGGTATTACGCAGCTTACGTTTATACTGAACGCAATTGTAACAAAATAAAAACAACCTAAAAAACCGCTGGTCAAAGGGCGGGAATCATGAGGCCTATGGCGAAGCCTGCGGACGAGGCCTCCACCTTCACCGCGTCCCCAACAAAATCGCTCACGCACGAGATGCGAGTTTCACGCTTCGCACGACTTTACTAACTTCGCGAGAATCGCCACTTACACGACTCGGGGGAGTTTGCGACTCGGGTTGTTGTGTTTTTTTACGATCGAGAGATGTGACAAACCAGCGCCACGCAACACAATCCACCTCGCTCCCGCGGGCCTCAGGCCTCCAACCCAACTTAAGCTCAGGCAGACTCTTCTTTAAGGGCTCAACGTTGTCCCTCCAAATTAATCTTTAACTGCGCGAGCGCAAACTATAAAACTGCAACGCCTCGTCGGTCCTCTCACAACCGACGTGCGAGTTCGACCCCGGGTGTCGCCCGACCCTGACCCCCGGTCTCTCGCGGCCTGCTTTGGCTTCCCCCCAACAGCGCCCGCACGGAAGCCGTCGTGGAGGCGACAGTTACAGCAGCGAAAGACAAACACCAAAGGACACAGCAGCGGTTGAAGAAGTGCTAGAAGCGAACCTGCAAGGAAGCCGAGAGGCCGAGAAGGTGAGGGCGGAGAGTTCAAGTACGGGTACTGTGGTGGCCGCTCAGCGGCTACGGGGCGCCATGCGTGGGGTCTCCCGAGCCGAGGTTCAGGGGCCGCGCGGTTCTTGGGGTTCCAATGGCAGTGGGGAGCGCAGTGCTGGGTGTGGACAGCAGAGGGCAGCCCCAGAGGGGTCCATGGTTGTGCTGCTCACTGCCCCCCACGCCTGTGACTGTCCTGGCCACTCACGCCTGTGACTGTCCTGGCCACTCACGCCTGTGACTGTCCTGGCCACTCACGCCTGTGACTGTCCTGGCCACTCACGCCTGTGACTGTCCTGGCCACCCACGCCTGTGACTGTCCTGGCCACCCACGCCTGTGACTGTCCTGGCCCCCCACGTCTGTGACTGCCCTATCCCCCCACGTCTGTGACTGCCCTATCCCCCCACGTCTGTGACTGCCCCCCACGTCTGTGACTGCCCTGTCCACCCACGTCTGTGACTGCCCCCCACGTCTGACTGCCCAATCCCCCCACGTCTGTGACTGCTCCCCACGTCTGTGACTGCCCTATCCCCCCACATCTGTGACTGCTCTGTTCCCCCACGTCTGTGACTGCTCCCCACGTCTGTGACTGCTCCCCACGTTGACTGCTCCCCACGTTGTGACTTCTCTCCACGCATGTGACTGTGCTGTCCCCCCACGCCTGTGACTGCTCCCCACGTTGTGACTGCTCCCCACGTCTGTGACTGCCATTCCCCCACGTCTGCGATTGCCCTGTCCTGTACTCACCAGTGTGTATCCACCCGATGCTCACCCACCTCGACTTGCATGTGAACATTCTAAGTGACTTTTACTTGACACGTTGGTGTCATTTCCAGCACCAACACTTGCGGGCCTCTTTACAGACATTTTGGGGCTAAGATGCACAGAAAAAAATGAGGAGCAAACACGTCGGCGGACGAGTGTCTTGTAAAAACTGGCGAGTGCTGTGTCGCTCAGAGCGCACAGTGATACAACTGAACAAATATTGCAATAACATTGTCAAAATTATAAAAGTACTCGTGACCATGAATAGTGATAACACTATGTAACACAATTTTTGTTCCTGGGTAGTGTTATTTCCTAATCGCTTATGCCTAAAAAGTAGAGAAAATGGCTATTATTCCCCACAAACTTTGCTTTTGTGACCAGGACAGTGATATTTTGAAATGTACCTATTTTCAATGAGAAAACGGACGAATGTGTATTTTCGTTCACATAAAGTCAGAAAAAACAACATGAATCAACATTTACATGTATTTATACTAAAGTAATACAAACATGACTACAAAAGATTTAGAAGTGAGTAGCTTTTCGAGATTTGGGATTATACTGTAAATCACTTTCACGAAACAGCCCCCAAATGTAGTCTCCCATCATGTTCTCATTATACTGTCCTTGGTAGCGGCGTTGAAAGTAGAGTATATCCTAGTGTAAGCGCTCGCTTTGCTCCTCCGAGTACGCTCCCATGTTCTCCTTGAATTCATCAAGATGAGCATCAAGGATGTGGACTTTGAGGGACATCCTACAGCCATTTTGCCATAGTTCTTCACCAGTCAACCAGCTCCACATAGTTTTCGACCTTGTGATTTCCCAGGAAGCCACAAAGCACTGCGAAAAAGCTGTTCCAAGCCGCTTTCTCCTTACTAGTGAGCTTCTTGGGGAATTCATTGCACTCCAGGATCTTCTTTATCTGTGGTCCGATGAAGACACTGGCTTTGACCTTTGCCTCAGACAGCTTAGGGAAGTAGTCTTGAAGGTACTTGAAGGCTGCCGACTCCTTATCTACAGCTCTGACAAATTGTTTCATAAGGCCCAATTTGATGTGCAGTGGTGGCATCGGCACCTTCCGGGGGTCCACCAGTGGCTCCCACTTGACGTTGTTCCTCCCCACAGAGAACTCGGTCCGCTGTGGCCAGTCCCATATGTGGTAGTGCGCCTTGGTGTCCCTGCTGTCCCAAAGTCAAATATAGCAGGGAAACTTGGTAATTCCGCCTTGGAGACCCATCAGGAATGTCACCATTTTTAAGTCTCCGATGACCTCCCAGCCGTACTCATCATACTTCCAGGCGTCCAGCAAGGTCTTGATGCTGTTGTAATCCTCTTTGAGGTGCACCGAGTGAGCCAGGGGAAGAGACGGGTACTTGTTACCATTATGGAGCAGCACGGCTTTGAGGCTCCTGGATAAGCTGTCAATGAAGAGGCGCCACTCATTCTGGTTACAGGCGATTCCGATTTCCTCGAACAAACTGGTTACATTGTGGCAGAAGCAGAGCCCATTTTGACGGGTGAAGAAGCTGCAAAAAGGTTGGTGATGCTTCCTCTGATCTGCGACTTGCACACTTTAATCCAACAAGTTCCACTGCTTGAGCCTAGGTGTCAAAAGCTCGGCATTGGACTTGGTGATACCAAGATCTCTGATCAAGTCGTTAAGGTCTTTTTGGTTGGGGTAGTATGGGTTTCTCTCCTCAGCTCCACCTCTGAAATTGTCATATGGATCTACGTCTTTCTTGCTCTCCGACTTGCTGCTCTCTTCTAAAGACGGCTGCTCTCTCTCCGGAGTAGGTACGGGGAGCTCATGGCAGTGTGGCACCGGGGCGATGAAGGAAGGTCCTGATACGTGATAGCAGGTGCATTTTTTCCAGTCCGACGTTTGGAAGGGTCCACCATGCAGAAATAGCAGTTGCTTGAGTGGTGAGTGGGTTCCCGCTAAATGCTTGGGATAGCGAACTTCATGGCTCTCTTTTCCCCTCTGTACCCTCCTACAAAAATAAATTTAACCCATGACTAATGTGTAAGAGATACTCTTACACATTTTTCATATTTTTTCAATAACATTTAAAATTGGAAAACATTTTTTAATAAAAAACTAACAATTTTACAAATTGTATAACGTAAAATTCCGAGCAATTGTCCATATTACCTTCCAGAGTTTTTTTTGCATTGCTCGCAGCTGAAATTAGGTGCCCAGGGTTTGTCTTGATCCCCGACAGGAATGTCGAAATATGCCTTGTAGGCCTCGCACATTTTAGCAGATGCTTTCAGAGTACTTTTTCGCTCGTCTTGATAAATTGACCGCAGACATAGCAAAATGCGTCTGCCGGATGTTTGCAGCCTCTTGATGCCATCTCAGAAAAATGCAGCTATGTATCCACTTCGGCAGCTGGAACTAAACTGAACTGGTGGGCTTAAAGCTCCTGTATTTATACTATTTATATTACTGGAAAGTTGCAGAATGTTGTAGAAGTTATTTAAAGTTTACTCAGCACTGAATCTATCTGGAATGTTCTGGAAAATAGGTAAATTTTAAAATATAAATGTCCTGGTCACAAACGCAAAGTTTGTGGGGAATAATAACCATTTTCTGTACTTTTGAGGCATAAGCAATTAGGAAATCACACTTACTACCCAGGAACAAAATATATATAAAAAAAATTGTTACACAGTATAATTGAATCGCGGGTTAGCTCGGAGCGTTCGTAGCTCTCATTGGCTGAGCGAATGTAAACAAAGATGGCGGTGGGTGCGTTTCTGACACCAATGCTGCTGTGCGTTCTACCAGTGTTTAGGCTGTGTGGGGAATCGTGGTGTTGCCTTGCGTGGGTGTGTGGGTGTCAGCGCATCTGTCCTTTGTGTGTCTACCTGTGTATTAGGCACTTCACTTGCCATGTGCCATGGTGTTGTCTCCACCATCCGATGGCAAATGGCGTCCGTCACGATGCGATTGAAGTCACGATTTACACTCGGAGGAGCTAACGTGCCAATGCCATGTGCCCTTACTCCCGTCGCAGTTGGAAATGCCGGAAAAGAAATGCACCAGCTGTCCCGGGAGGTGTCGACCCTGCGGGGCAGGGCACGAGCACATTTTGCCAACCCGCGTGGCGCACTGAGCCGGAAGGATAAGAGCATCCACGAGATGCTGCACCAACTAGAGATCCACCGTGCTGAGGAGGTACCGTGGGCGCCACCACCCCCCCCCCCCCCTCGTTGTGCGGAGCGTGGCTAAAATGAAACATGTTCTCGTTGTGAAGCTGCGTGGCACACACGCAGGGATAACAAAACCTTAACATATTCGTCAATAAGACTGCAATGGATATTGCTTTGAGTTCTCTGCTGTAAAGAAGGGCCATTGCCTGAAACGTCACCTTTAAGATGTTCTGCCCTATTGAGTGCATCGTTTTTGATGAATGTGTTTTTTTATTTTTTTTATTCAGAGTGCGATCTGAACGTCAAGGAAATGGGCCATTAAATAAGTGCATTGTGGGAGGTGGCTGGGTGCCCCAGGGGTCAGAGATGCTGTGCCAGCGCTGCTGAGATGCCAGGATCAAATCCAGATTACAGCCGCCCAACCAGTGATTTAACCGGGTCCCAAGCGTAATGAGTTGGTGGTCTCAGCCTGGTCGCCAATAAGTGCACAAAAAAACCCAACAAATCATATTTTGGTTCTGTACTCTAAATTCACCATAGTGAGTGGTCCATGGTTTGACGACTCATGTTGAAAATGAAAAAAAGCAGATCAAACACAAGTTTTGTATCATAGCATGTCCCCGCAGAATGTGCATGTAGTATCTTGATTTGAGGCTTTCGTGACTGCAGGAATCCATATTCTTTGGTTCTTTTGGTAAAGCCACATAGTTAGAAAGAAAATAAAACAAATCACGACGTTTGGATCACAACACAAGCGGTCGTCATCATGATCGTCATCAAGCGGTCATGATGACGACCGCTTGTGTTGCGATCCAAACGTCGTGATTTGTTTCATTTTATTTCTGTGACTTTACCGAAAGAACCAAAGAGTATGCATGTAGCATGTTTTACTGATTAATACACCTGTATGGGGCTGACCAGCATGGGGAAGTATCGTAAAACATATCCCCATGACCAACATAGTGTGGGGAGGCATTGTGAATTGTTCTGAATATTGACTCCATTTGAAG